GGAACCGATGGGTGTCCACTTTGCTGCCGGGCTGTCCACTCCGTCACTGTCACCCCGTTTTCTTGGTCCTCCTACCTAGTCCCTCAAAGTACCCGTCACCGGCTTTTTGCCGCAAAGGTACTGGCCTCATCCCATGGAACAAGGTACCACGGCCAGGTACCGGGCTCGTCTGGGCTACCTGAGTCCTGGGTCCTCAGGTACCTATCCGCACTCCGTACACCACCCGACTACTGGGCTGCTACCGCCCCTTCCATCACCCCTTCCACCCTTCCCTCACTCAACTTCGCCCTCTCTCGCCTCCATTCACACGCGCGCCGCCATCATTCCTCTCTCCACTTTACATCCTCACCCCCGTCCCCATTTCTCTCTCTCTCCCCATCTCCATCCCATCCATCCCAACCCGTCCCATCCATTCTCACTCCTCGAGATTCTTCTTGTCCGACTTTATTCCTCCTTCTCTCCCCTCCCCGAAACCTTCTTCTCTTTTCAAACCTCCGAATCCGCCGTATCACGACGAAATTCCCTGTCCTCGACTCTGCACGATATTTCCATCCAAAGTCGTCGACAACCCAGGATTCAGGTTCTCATCTCTCCTCTCCTCGACCTCTGCACGATATTGTCGAATTCGATTGTCGCCTCTCTACAACAACAACCGCCGCCTGCCCCCCATACAGGCCCGACTACGTTTTAGGTGCACGACACTGAGCAAAAACACAACAACCCGAGTCGACTTGATCGCGTCTGCTGCTCGACACTTGGAACACTTCCAAGTTACACCGTCCTTTTCAAATTCGCAAACCTGTTTACGGTCCCCTTCCTCAAGGTAAGCTACAGTCCCAACAGTGCGAACCCTCAATCTATTCAGAGCCACCCCGGAGAGTCTGGTGCACAAGCTTCATCCAATCACTCGACCCCCGAAATGCGATCAAATTCCACGAGCGGTATCGATAGAAGGCATGCTTCGGTATGGTCTCGGAACGTCCTGCCCATGTGCTACGATTAAATCGGCCTCAGTCAATGACCAGCCCTTGGCTTCAAGCACTGCAGTTCCAAACGGCAGCATTCAAGCAGCAGCAAATGTTTCCTCCATGCTGGGTGCGCTGGAGCTACACAATGGCCACTGCATTGGTTGACCACAGGGGACCCCCTTCTCTGCTGCTGTCGCCTACGTCGCCTCCCAGCATTTCCTCACTCCAATACCGGCCCGCCACTACTTGACGCATCATTCGACGAAGCTTGTGTATCAGACTCAGGCACAGACAGTCAAAGTTTTTTGATTTCCTGGATATTCTCGCTGACCATTCACCAAACAGGACAGAGCTGCGGCTTTCCATTTCCTTTACACAACTTTCTTCGTCCCGTCTCTCGCGGCCCTTTTGAACTCCTCTGACGCCCTCGACGACCTTTCTCCGTTCAAGCATCCCTTTCCCGAGTCAGCCATCACTGCATCTCTTCCCCCCGCCCAAGATACATATCTTTCGCTGGGTCTTTCAGCCGTCATCAACTAGCGACACGACTGCTGCACCTTTTTCATCGACTCGATCTCTAGACGTCTTGTTTCTTCCCCTCGTCGCGATTTCAACCCTTGATGGCTATTCGCAGCTACTAAGGGCTCGTGTCACCAACCCTCAACCAATCGACACACCGACTTCCTTCGGCCTTGGATATCCATCGCTAGCTCGACGCGGCATTTCTCCCACTGCTAAGTGTCTCTTCCGAGTACATCGAGCAGTATCCCCAACCCGACAAAGATCTACGTTCGATCTTCGTCGGACTCCTCTCAATACCGCCATCATGCCCGGAGGTGTTTGTGCCGTCCTCGACTACGAGGTCGACCAAATGGCCGAGTTCGTTGCCGAGATGGCCACCCGCGTTGTTATGCCGCTGTCGACCACGGCCGTCACGCCCCCGTTCCGCAAGTTCGTCTCGCAGATCCTCTCATCGACGAGATTGCCCAAGAGCACCATTCTCCTCGGCATGAACTACCTGGCGAAGCGGGTCAACACCCTCAAGCAGAACAACCCCTCGTACACTGTACCCGAGGGACAGGTTTGGCGCATGCTGACTGTGTCCCTCCTGCTTGGAAGCAAGTTTTTGGACGACAACACCTTCCAGAACCGTTCTTGGTCCGAGGTGAGCGGCATCCCCGTCGCTGAGCTCAACGCTCTGGAACACGAGTGGCTTGAGCAATCCGGCTGGCGTCTCTACGTCAACCTGGATTACAGCGCGGACTACAAGGCCTGGCTCACCAGCTGGGATGAATGGAAGGTCCTCAAGGACCAGGCCGCGGCAAGAGTCACCCGCGAGAGACTCGTCCCCGCCATCGACACCAACATCAACAACAGATACGGTGGACGATCCTCCTATCATACGTTTGTTCAGCAGCAGGCGGCTGAATACGAGCGCTACGAGGCCATCAAGCGCAACGAGTTGGCTCACCAGCAAGCCTACGGCGGCAACTGGAACTGGCAGAATGCCCCGCTCACTCCTCCCGATTCTGGCTACGGCACGCCCGAGTACATTAATTCAGCCACTTCTGCCAACGCTCGCTACAACGATTGGTTCTCGCAGGCCGCCACCACGGGCCAGTGGAACACTCGCTATCAGCAGCCCTCGCACAACTACTACGGTCACCGCCACAACCAACAACACTTCCCTGGACACTATGGTTACCAGCAAACCATGTGGGAGCACGGTGTTGCGGAGTGTAGCTGTGCGAACTGCGTTGGTCCTACCAAGGCATCCTCGTACTTTGCTCACCCTACCTTTGGCCAGCCTGTGATGGGTTAAAGTTGTGGCGATTTCTGGCAGACTCACTCAATCGCCTTACGAACCTGGAAGAGATTTTTGCTATCGGAAAAGTTTGGGAGGTCTAGCGTCACCGGAGACGCGGACTTTGTTTTTTTTTTCTGGCATGAACGATACATTTGCATTCTTCAGATACCCTCTCACGACGAGAACCGAAAGAAGCGGTTATTTGACCGAATGGTCCACACGTCGGCATTCGACTTCACGACACGGGCACGTTTGCCCCATTCGATACCATTGCTACCATACGCGATTGATTTGGCTACTAGATTGTCTCGCAGCCACAATGCGTTTGGAGGTGGATGGTCACGACGCGCGGCTGCGACCCCTAATGACATATTTCTTTAATTCTTTCTCCCCTGGTATACGGATAAATTCATCACTGGCGTCTCACGGTCGCCACTCGCGATCCCAACGGAGTTTTCATTTCAATAGATTCTTTGGCTGTGTTTTTTTTTTGTGTGATGGTGGTGGTAGTCTGTTGGGAGTGGGCATTTGTCTCACTGCTCAATCTTCGTACATCGACTTATGGTTTCGATCGGTCATTACGCGCGACAGCAACTCTACGAGTTTCGATTACCGAGTCACCCGACGATTACCTACGCCAGCGACATCCATTTCCTTTGTGGCACGCCAGAGAGACCAACTTGTTTTTCTGTAATTCAACCTGTTTCGGCGACAAACTGGTTCTCTACCCCGGCTTGTATTCCGTCTGCGAAAGGCGGAAATTTTCAGCTCTCAATTCGACAAGACCTCACGGTCACCGGCGCTCGCCTTGTCGGCGCTGCCCCCTCAAAAAAAAAAATACGAAGTGCATCAAGTAAAGGGTACATAGGATCACATTTCACTTTACTGGCTGGCTTTGCGCGGGCATACGATTTTCTACTTGCGAGAATGAAAAAAAAGGGAGACTCAACATGGGGAGGTGTTTTGCATTCATGTTTACTGATCAAAAATGGGAGGCAAAGCCTTCAGGACGTGGGTATGGAGTCTCTTTTTCTTTTTACTTTGTCTGTTTGGCATTTCTTGTTCATTCGGCACGCTGGCCCGTCTCATTGCCCGGAAGGGACAATGTCGGAGGGCCACTGCTGTTTCTATGCCTTTTTACTGTTCATGACATTGTTAGACGTTTATTTTTTATTTTCTCTTCATGCCAACTTGTACCGGCATCCACTAGAGTGTTTGGGATCAGGGTCGGAGACATTCAGTCTATGGGAAGGCAGGTTATCTGCTCTTCGACATGTGGATGGTGATGGGAGTGGTGGTTTTACGGATATGAACCCAACGAACCAGACAGCCGTCGGGACTGGCGCTAGATTTGTATGTCGCCCAGTGGCCGCTGGCTAAATAGGCACATCGTCACGGGTATCGGGTACGCTATGATGTGAGTTACATCATTAGCAGGATTGGAAAAGTTTTCGCCGAAAGGACGAGATTGGAAAAGGAAAAATGGATGGAGCACACACGGCATACCCGCGGGCGACGACAAAGACATGGCCTACTTAGTGAAGACACTACAGTCCTAGACAACTAAACAAAATAACAAAACATGATGAAGCAAACACATCCGTCTCTGACGTTTCAATCGCGAATCTGGAGTGCTGTGAGAAGCTCATGTCGTAGGAGGAGGAATTGGGCGATGACTTGCAGTGGTGGTTGATGACCCAAGTGGCCAGGTTACTTTTGATTGGGCTGCTGCCCCACTCCAAAGTCGAGAGTGGTTTTCTGCTCCCTGATTCGCTCATTTGCCAACGTTCCTCCATCTTCTCAACTTCGACCTCGGCCTCATCCTCTCACTCGCTTGAGGCACTCACTCGCCCACAGACGTCTTCTTCAACCCCATCTTCCCTACTGAATCAGAGAAAGACTTTGGTGATAAGCCAAACTTTGTGGACCATTGTTTGACTGGAACATTTCCGTCATTTTGCCTAACGCCTGGCCCCCACTTTGAGAGTCTCTTACGAACACCTACCTCACTGACTAAGACGAGGGCGAAAAAAAGGCTGCTTTACATCGATTCAGGGAGCAAATCAACTCGGGCCGTTATTTCTCCTTTCCCCCTCTCTATTAGACGAAGGAGGATCCAACCCTTATTCTGCGCCTAGTCAGGATTCGAATATCGAACCTGGTGAGGAAGCAACTCTCAAGGCAGAACGGAAAGAGAGGGAAGAGGGAAAAGGCTACGAGAAACGATGTCGAGATTCGTATCGGCGGGGGCCATCAACGCCGAAACAGGCGAGGCCGTGACTCAAGATGCGACGGACAACACGACAACCACGAATACGAATTCCGGTGGTGGTGGGACCAAATCCGCCGCCGAAGCCAAAAAGAGCGCCGAGTGGGACCTCGTACAGAAGGAACTCGACGCGGAGCGCAAGCGTCGCGAGGAGGCGCGCGTGAAATCCGTCGAGGGCGGGGAGAAGAGCCTGTACGACGTCTTGCAGGCGAATAAAGCCGCGAAGCAGGCTGCGTTTGAGGAGGCGAATAAGATTCGGAACCAGTTCCGCGCGCTGGATGATGATGAGATTGGGTTTTTGGATGAGGTTAGGGAGGCGAAGAGGGCTGAGGAGGAGAGGGTGAGGAGGGAGACGGAGGAGGGGCTTGTTGCTTTTCGGAGGGCGCAGGGGGGTGGTTTGGGGTGAAGAGGGCTGGTGATGGGGAGGAGGATGTAGAGACGGATGCTGCGGCGCCTGTGGATGGGGGCGATGGCGGTGATGGGGAGTGGGCTGTTGGGCCTAGGAAGAGGAGGAGGAAGGAGAGGGAGAGGGGGTTTGGGGTGAAGAAGGAGAAGGGGGGCGAAGACAAGGTGGATGATAAGAAGATGGAGGATACGGCTGACGCTGAGAAGGGAGCCGTGAAGGCGAGTTCGACTGGAGCTGCGGCAACGGCTACGACTTCGACTACAGCTACGGCTGCACCGGTGAAGGGGAAGCTGAGTCTTGTGGCGTACGGGTCTGATTCGGATGATGAGTGAGAGGGGATAGGCCGATGGATCCTGGGACTTGTTGTTCCCATGCCAGAGCACTTAACGGGGTGCTATCGTCATGGAGGTGCTGCTTCATCTGTAGATATTGATACCTGCTTCATGCTTGGCGTGTTCTCTAGCTCGAGCAAGTACACAACTTATCCGCAAGAACCCACAGTCTCACGATGCAATGTGGACAGGGAGGGAGGATATCGGGGAAAAGAACATGGTGGAAGAAAGAGGAGTGTACAGTAATATTCGTACCAAGCGGAGCGTTCATAGCTTTCATCTTGGCCAATGAACCCATAGTCTATGATAACCTCCCGCGCTCCAATCCATGCAGCGAAAACATAAAAAGGGAGGAATATGGAAGAAGAAACGAGAAATGATAAGCTAGAATTACAATATGCTGTGAACCCCCGTTTACCCAATCGCTTTCTCTAGAGCTGTGTGGGGTGGTGGTCAAGATAGTTATACATCGTCTCCAACTCCTCTCCTCCGTCATACAGACAGAATGAGGGACGGACAGAGAGAGAGAGAGAGAGAGAGAGCGAGGAAAGGCTTTTACTCGTCGTCAATGTTTCCAACATTGGGCCCCTTACGCTCCTCGCCCTTAACGACGCTCCACCCCCACGTGCCCAACGACCGCAGCGTGCCCTTGATCCAGCCCTCAATCTGCGTCTCGGGGATGACAATCGCCTTTGCGCGCTCCTCGTCCTCAGCCCGGATCTCAAACCGCCGCATACGCTGCGCAATGCGCGAATCAATAACCATGGGCGAAGCCCAGATGCGCTCCTTGGTCTTCTCCTCCTCGTCGGCCGTCGCCTCGTCGACGGGCTTCCAGACGGATTTGACCCAGTCGCGTTCCTCGTGGACCAAGGCGCGTTGTTGCTCGTACGGCGTGGGGGCGGAGGAGTCATCTGCGGCGGTCTCGGGTTCGGCGTCGCGGTATTCGCGGGCGTGGGCGAAGCAGGCGGCCGCGACTTGGCGGCCTACGTCGTCTGCGAGCTGGCGGCGGTTGAAGAAGCGGCCCATGCGGGTGAAGGTGCCGGCGAAGCCGAGGAGGTGGGGGAACTGCACCGGTTCCGAGGGGGAGAATTCGGCGGGGAGGGTGGAGGGGAGGTGGGAGGCTGAGTAGTCTGCCGTTGTGTTGTAGGGAACGGGTTGGCGAGGGCGGTCTGATTTCTTTTCTTCTTCCTTGGGCTTTTCTTCCTCCTTCTTCTCTCCTTCCGCGGCACCACCCTCTGTTTCTGTTGATGTAGATTCTGAGGTCGCTTCTGATGCTGTCGGCTCAGGGGTAGAGACTACCTCCGGCTTGGGAGGCGGGTCGAGGGGACCGAGCCAGCCCTCGTGTAGGCCGCGAATGTACTCCTTCCACGCGTGACGCCCGATAACGATGTCGCCTCCGGGACCCTCGAACTCGGGTGTGTTGTTCTTGGCGCGGATGGCGTCGCGGATATTCTCCTCAGTGGGGAGCAGCTCGACCTCGGGCCTCTCCTCCCTGCTCCTGCGCCTCCGAATCTTCTCCGCTACGGCGGCGCGGACATCACCCTGCTGCCGGCCCTGGATAAAATCCCAATCCAGACCCGAGGCGGCGAGGATGGGCTTGACGTACTCGATAAAGTGGTCCTGCGCGACGCGCAAGCCGTCGCCGGGCGGTGAGGCGAGGATGACGGTGAGTTTGCGCGGCAGCTGAGAGGGATCGGTAACGGGTTCGCTGGCGAGCGGGGAGACGGCGGCGGCCCAGCGGGCTGTGGCGCGCTTCTTTTCGCGCTTGTCGTAGATGATGGCCGAGGAGATGGCGCCTGTGACGGAGAGGAAGATGAGCCAGTTGCGAGAGGGGAGGCGTTTGGGAGGGCCGCGGAGGCCCATCATTTGCCAGACTGGATTCGGTTTCGCGGCTTTGTAGCCTTCTGCGGCGGAGGTGGCTGTTGTTGTGGTTGTTGTCGCAGCGGTAGGAGCCGGTGCTTTCGGGGCCGCCTGGGAGATGCCATTGTCAGTTTGGAGGTTCGTGATGGTGATGGGGACCGTTGGATGCTTACCTCAGGCGGCGTGGGGTTCGAGTCCGCCATTATGGGTGTATATTAGGGGGGATGAAAGTATTTAGAAGTCTCCGTGTAAGACGATGTGGTGTCGCACCGAGAATGCGACTATAAAAATGGTGGCTCGCAATGCCTCGAGATGTCCTGTCCTACCTCAGGCCAGGAGAACTGAAGTGAGGTTTTTGGAAATTTTAGTCGCGATAAGAGCTTCGCCGAATTATCGGACCTATCTGTCCCTAAACGGCTTAGCGCAGTTAGAACACTGACCGCCTGCCATAAATGGAATAGTGTCCCAAGGGACGTACCGGGCGAGCTGTCACGGCATCTTCCTCTCCAGAGCCTCTTCTCCTACTATCAAAGCCAGGTACACCACTAAGTTGAAGATGAACTTCATATTCGCTTGAATTGGTGTAGAGAATTCCTTCTCATGTTGTCCGCTTAGATCCTGATCCCGGTAATTGACTGCCCCTGTGATGGGCGCTACACCGAGACCCACGTTGGTCCAGTTGTCTGGCGATCCCCGAAGAACAGTGGCAGATCTTGATGCATGATCGACTTATTGGACAATGACACTCCAAAACTCGCGATGGCAGGCAGCCGCAGAGCGGATGGGGCGTCGTCGGGCCGTGGTCATTGGGCGACGATGGTAGAGAGCATGGAGCTCAATCATGGATCACTAGGTAAACCTGATACAGGCACAGGGCATCACTTGAGCCCGGCGGCTGTCCTCCGACCAAGAGCTTCGTCATCCCAACCGAGAGCATAACGTGTGGCGGTGCGCTAGGCTTGTTGATTTCTCCTGTGCTGCTCACGAGATTCCGCCATACGAGGTTGAACGTGGTGGTTTGGGTGACAAGCGCGAGACACTGAAACCATGCATTGTGTGCTGTGAAGGGGGAACACGGCGTAATCGATAGACAGAGATGGTGCCAAGCTCACCAGGATGCTGGTGACATGCACCAGACCGTGGCATCGAGGACAGAAGAGCAAGAATGCCATGCCATGTATACGAGGACGAAGAGTGTAACGCTGCCATGTGCCACGGGATGAGCTTGTGAGCTTGTTCCTGTGACGGGTGTGACAATCGTATACGATTTGGAGCGGATGAGAGCGGGGCGGCAGGCGTTCGAAATGCTATTTATTGCTAGAGCCGTGTCTCACGGCGGCTGTACACGGCCGACGATGCCTCGTGCCGATGCCGAGCGTGAGCCAGGCTGTTGGGCTGGGTGGGTATGGTAGAGGACGACGACGACGACGACGCCGGACCGCTCGGTCAGGCATAAGTTGACGGTTGGCATACTTCAGCGGGGGTCAAATACTGTAGAATTCCTTCTTTGTCTTTAGCCATGAGAGAACCCTGTTGGAGCCTAGGGTCCAACCGTCCAAGTGACGTGCGGATGCGGGCGAGACGAGATGGCGACGGGAGAGATGAACTAGGTGGAAGGGATAGCCATGCTTGTGGGTTAGGCGGGCAGGATGCGTAAGTGATGCGACCGCTTGAGCTTTCCGAAGGGCTAACCGGTTTGACCATTCACATACGTAGAGAAACAATCCGAACTTTCAGGTTAGGCTGTCCGCGTCCGGTTGATACCCAAGTAACCTTGCGGCAAGGCACTTGACGTGCTCCGGTTGGAGAAGGGATGCGGCGAGATGCCGGAACGATGTTGCACGGAGAGAAGTGAAAAGCCAATCGCGGAGACGGAGACTGAAGATGGCGGTGGCACTTTAGTACGATCCAATGGGTAGTATCAAGCGAATGCTGGATCTCAGAAGGGGTCTCATGTGGTATGTCTGTTTCCCGGTGAAGAGGGGCGGTCATCTGAAGACTGAGGTTAAAAGGTGAGAGACGACTCGGAAACAGAGGCTTGAGATGCGGTAGTTGTAACAGAGTTTCCGCTGGGTAGTCGAGGTCCCCGTGGGAAAGTCAATGACTGAGTCGAGTGAGTCGGATTAGAGCTTCAGCTCCGGGGACTAGCTGTAGCATCCGGTACCCGATACGTTAGCGGGCCGAGTTCCACGATCCATGGCATACGATGATGTCGAATTGGACGTTGAGTCTGGAGCATCAAGATGGAATTCAAGAGTCGGTGAAAGGGGGAGAATAAGCGAGTTGTCGAGGTGCAAGTAGCTTTTCATAGTACGGAGTAAGGAAAGGTACATGTCGGCGGTCTCCTGCCAATTGCTTAGCACATCGTCCGCGCCCCTCCTTCCTCGTTGTTGTTTCCCGCCCCGCACGTTTTGTGGGTCCCGACAGAGGATGGAGATGTCTGGGAAGGAGCTAGAAATGCAATGCAGCAAGATGTAGACAGTGCATGGCATAGGTATTTACCAACGTGCTGTGAGTTTAAGCAATGCACATTCAAGGCTGTAGCGAACAATACTTACGGATAGACTGCTAGGAACCTAAGTGTACCTTACAAAGTAGCGAGTGTCATCCTCACAAGGCATAAGGCCAGATGCCAAACCTCCAAGTGGAGGAGGTGCGGCGGAGGCATATCCAGAATCCCAGTGGATGCAGCTCCGACCCCACCTCACCCCGCTCATCGGCCACTCACAGCTCGGCATTGGCTGAATCTCAGGGGTACTTGGGGTCCAGCGAGGCCCCTCGACTTTCAAGGCCGCGGCGCCGCCCCCCAAGTGCCCCCTCCCCTGAGTTCTCAGATCCCCGCCTCGCCTCAGGTGCTGGTAGTGTAAATTTGTACGTAGTAAGGTACCTTAGTATGTTGCTCGTGGCAGGTGCGGCGTGGTTTCTGTTCTGTTCAGGAGGTCCCTTCCCGTCACCCCGTCTGGTCTTGCCCTTTTTCTTGCTGCGACGGGCTGCATGCCTTCCTTCAAAAGTTAGGGGAAGGAACATCCTACGACACTGACGTTGAACCCAATTGCATTCCTTCCTTCCATCCAAGGCCTACACAGTACCTATATACCTACCTTACCTACCTTAAGTACCTTAATAGGTAGTTGACAGCGGAAGGTACCTGCTACCTCCTGCCTTTCCACTGGAAGTCCTTCCTGCATCATGACTCTGCTCCACCTCACTGCCGGGGCCGCTTCGCAGGTGTCCGTACCGTCCCTCTATGCAGTGTGCACCCCATCGTCACCCCTCCTCCTTCCCCCCTCCCCTCCCATTCTCAGACCGACCCCAAATCTCAAGGCCTCCATCAAACCTTGGAATCAGCCTATTCGTGCCTCCTTTGTACCAAGTCCTCGACCGCCTCCGCGTGTGAGTGCTGAGAGCAAAGTACAGAGTACATTCCAAAATACCAAACACCAAAAACCACGTTATTTCATACACATCCAATACCTTAGGTACCTTACCGAGTGCCTCGCCCAACATCAGCTATCCTGCCGGTCTCGTGACTTGAACCTCTCTCTCTCTCTCCCGTCCCTCCTCGACACCTCGACGTCTGCCAGCTTTACCTTTCCTCACCTCGCTCAAGCCACGAGGTGCTTCAACCTATCGCCTCCTGTTACCTGTATACACCGACTACACATAGCTAGCTTCCTACCTAGCTCTGCCCGGTAGTCGTTGTTCTCGCCCTGCACTTCTGGCACCGGGGAAATTCCACCCCTTGGAGCATCAAGCCCCTCTCCGCCACCTCTGCACCTTTTTGCTCCATCGGCAAGCGCCCTATCAACAAATCCTCGCCTCCTACCCCTTTTTTTTGCTGGTAAGCATAAGGATAGACAAACAAGCTTCCTCGACCGCCTTTACACTACATTCACTCAACTTGCCAAGGTATGTGGTGATACTCCAACCTCCAGATATCATAATCTTCACGTCCTGTCCCCATCCCTGGCCTATCCTCTCACTCACTAGGGCACGCACTTACCATTCATCAAGTTCCAGTGGGTTGCGAGGACCTCCCATCCACTCACCCGCCCACCGCAATCTATTCTTCTCGACTTCCGCCCCGGGGGACGACCCCAATCCATCCAACCACCCGCCTTGACCCTGCGCACTGCGGCTGCAACCTTCCCATCTCCTTTAGCAGCCTCCCCGCCGTCTACCACTCTAGTCGTTGCCTCACTTCCACGGTCCGCTCGCCCATAGCACTGTCAATTAAACTGCCACTTTGCTAGTCGCCCGCACAGCCTGCGCAACTACCAACCCCTACCCGCACACGACGTGCCCCCCCCGAGTCAAGACGAAACTTCTACACAATGGAGGGTAATAATAACCGTCTCTACCTCAACATCGGTAACCAAAACGATCGTCTGGGTCCTGGCGGCGACCGACAATATCCCACCACGCCTTCTACCTTTCCTCAGCCCGTCTTCCCTCACCAAGGCCAACAGCAGCAGCAGCACCAACAAGCCGGCGGTATGCAGCACCAACAGCAGCAACACCCGGGGCAGCAGCAGCAACAGCAGTATGCGACCGGTTATGCTCAACAGGGCTACTTCCACCCGAGCCAGCAGCAGGGTCAATATCCTCCCCAGGGTCACGGCGACTACAATGCGGGCTATCAGCCTCGATCCAACACCCCGGGGACCAATGATCCCAATGTCGGTCTCGCCCACCAATTCTCTCACCAAAACCTAGGCGGTGCTGCTCGGGCGTCGCCCTACGGTTCCCGTGGGCCCTCGCCCGCTCAAAGACCTCGCACTGCCGGTGCTTCGGGACAGACGCCTCAGGGTTACGGACACTATGCGACGCCGCCGATGCCGAACCAGCAGGCAGCTCCCGTCGAGGTCTTTGCTCCTGCTCCTGAGCGGCTCTACGAGAAGTACGGCCCGAACGCCAATAACAACCAGAAGAAGTGTACCCAACTGGCCTCCGATTTCTTCAAGGACAGCGTCAAGCGTGCCAGAGAGCGCAACCAGAGGTGAGTGCAGGACATAGACTTTCCAGCTCGAATGCCGGCACGTACTAATCTCTCGTTACACAGACAATCCGAAATGGAGGTGAAGCTTTCCGAGCCTGGCCAGAGCCAGCAAAGACGCGAGCAGATTTGGTCCACGGCCGGTCGCAAGGAGGGCCAATACCTGCGATTCCTACGAACCAAGGACAAGCCCGAAAACTACAACACCATCAAGATCATCGGCAAGGGTGCTTTCGGAGAAGTCAAGCTGGTCCAGAAGAAGAACGATGGCAAGGTGTACGCTATGAAGTCTCTGATAAAGACGGAGATGTTCAAGAAGGACCAACTCGCCCACGTCCGTTCCGAGAGAGATATCTTGGCCGAGTCAGACAGTCCCTGGGTCGTCAAGCTCTTCACGACCTTCCAGGACTCTTACTTCCTGTACATGTTGATGGAGTTCTTGCCTGGAGGTGACTTGATGACCATGCTGATCAAGTACGAAATCTTCTCCGAAGACATTACGCGCTTCTACATTGCCGAGATCGTGCTTGCGATTGAGGCAGTCCACAAGCTAGGCTTCATTCATCGGTAAGTCAAATGGTGTCGGTAAGCTCAGAGCCCGCGAAGCTGACAGGCCCAGTGATATCAAACCCGATAATATTCTACTGGACCGCGGAGGTCATGTCAAGCTTACCGATTTCGGACTCTCGACCGGTTTCAACCGCTTGCACGACAACAACTACTACCAACAACTGCTGCAGGGCCGATCTAACAAACCGCGCGACCGTAACTCTGTTGCCATTGACCAGATCAACCTTACCGTCAGCAACAGATCCCAGATCAACGATTGGCGTCGGTCGAGGAGACTGATGGCCTATTCCACAGTCGGAACGCCCGATTACATCGCTCCCGAGATCTTCACAGGTCACGGCTACACCTTCGACTGCGATTGGTGGTCCCTAGGCACCATTATGTTTGAGTGTCTGGTTGGATGGCCCCCCTTCTGCGCTGAGGACAGCCACGACACATACCGCAAGATTGTCAACTGGAGACAAACGCTGTACTTCCCTGATGATATCCAGCTTGGTGTGGAAGCCGAGAACCTAATTAGAAGGTGAGCAAATCTAAGAACGGAGGTAGTCCAGGGTACTGACATGGGGCAGCTTGATCTGTAACACAGAGAACCGCTTGGGTCGCTCGGGCGCCCATGAAATCAAGCAGCACTCATTCTTCAGAGGAGTTGAGTTCGACAGCCTGCGTCGCATCAGAGCTCCTTTCGAGCCTCGCTTGACTTCAGCCATCGATACCACGTACTTCCCGACCGATGAGATTGACCAGACTGATAACGCCACGATTCTCAAGGCTCAGGCCGTTCAGCAAGCCCGCTCGGGTGTGCCAGCGGTGGTCGAGGAGTCTCCCGAGATGAGCTTGCCCTTCATTGGATACACCTTCAAGCGGTTCGACAACAACTTCCGATAAGCGCGATAAGCGCATTGTTTTGGTGGCCAGCTTATTGCGACTCGCTCCCAATCTTGGGGATTACCGATGCCGAGCAAGACGTGGAGACCCGGAGGACTAGGAGACTATCAGTGCTTTGCTGGCGACTCCATTTTGCCTACTGCCAACCCAATACACCCAGATTCTTGTTTCACAAGATTTGCATTTCCCGTTTTTTTGTTTTCAATCACTGCATACAGGGCGTTCACTCGCATCAAAGACACCAAGTCGCACAAATCATGTAGATGGGAGGGGGAAACCGAGATGTTGTCTTTCAGGGGGTATGTAGTCGAGACGGCCGCGGATGACTAGAGTTTTCATTATGAGAAGCATGATGAAGGAAACAGAGAGTAGGGGCAGCGTGAGGAGGGGATGTCAGGATGTACTGGTAATGCTGGATCTATCAGTGATGGATGACATTATGGGATTCAGAGAGTCATAAGGACGTCTGGCAACGGTGGAGTGGTAGATGCAATGCAGACGATGCATTTGAGAACAAGACTTGAGACTTGATGATTCATGATGTTTGTGGTTGATTCACTGTTGTCTTTATCGGCAATAGATGGTGTATCTACATGTGTATGCTGCCTTCGGGCATGGTAGGTTGTTTAATCACGAACTCCTCACCATACTTTCATTCCACTTCGGCACAGGCGAAAAGCGGACTGTAGGTCCACCGTCTAGGAAGTGCTGGACGCCTCTTCCTCTCCTACAATCTTTGTGAGCCCCCATCGGGATTCCGACTTTGCATTGTCTGACAAAAGTCACTTGTGGTCGGATTGCATCCATTGTCGATGGGTCAACATTCTGTCTGTTCCGTCCTATTATTGGTACTCGTTTAATGAGATGCCTTCACAGGAATCTCTGAAAGTGCCTCGCAAGGCAAAAGTTTTTATAAAGTCTTGATCTCAGTGCCACGTCGAAACCTCTGTTCAAGGCTAACGTCAGCTCTTCTTTTTCCCTGCTCAAGGGCCTGATGAGCAAAAATAAATCTTACAAATTTTCTCCGTCTCGAAGTACCTACGCCCAACGCCGTGATATGACACCTCCTGATGCCACTGAAATTGGTCCGTACAGGCCATTGTTGACCAACTTGACCCAGAAAACAACTGCTTGCTTCAATGCTGTCCAGGGCACGAACCCGGATCACTATGAGAGATCGTCTCCTGGTCGTCCCTACATCTGAGGGAAGCAGGGCTTCCTTCCCGTCATGCCACAGATAACCCTCCCGTCATGTTGTGTTATACAACCCGTTTCTGACACCCTTTGCGCCAACAACAAACGCAGCTCTCCCTTCCCACCACTTTCACCTCCGCGTACCAGGCGCCGCAACATACCTCTCCTCGCGCTCCGACATGAACATGACCTGCAGCCAATACTCCTTCGCATCGGGATCCCAAAAGCTAAACTGCTTATCGTCGCGCTTATCCAGCTCGCGCGCGGGGATCTTGAACCCGCACGTCTCGTACGGCTCCGCCGCCACCAGCAGGTACTGGAAATTCTTGTCCGGCTCCTCGATGCGCTGCGTGAAGGCGTTCATGACCTGCCACTTGGGCTCCACGTCGGGCGCAATGTCCGGGTACTGAAGCTGGAACAGCAAGCCCTGCTGACGCGTGATCGGATCGCGGATCTTTGTAATCTTGTACCCCGGCCGTCCGATCTTGATCAGGTTCCGCCGCGCGCCTCCCGCGCCGAAGCCGGCGCCGACGACGCCGACGGGTAACCCCGTCGCCGGGTCGATGTTTTGTTTTCCTTCCTTTTGTTCGCGGGCGGCGCGGCGGGCGAGGTTGGTCTGGTGTTTTTTCCCCTGGGTGTGGGCGAGGTAGGAGCCGTCGTTTTGGTGGACGGTGAGGCAGAGGCGGCACTCGAAGGAGCCGACGTGGTTTTTGAAGAAGTAGGGGTCCTTGTCGAGGTCGATCGTCTCGAGGGCGAGCTTGCGGAGGCGTTCGCGGCGGTCTGCGTTTGTTGCGCTGAAGGAGGCTACGCCGCCGCCGCCGAATTTGGAGCCGGCGCGGTTTTGGTAGTCCATCTTTGTGGTTTATGGGAAGGTGTTTCGCGATGTGGAGGGTTGGTCGTGGGTTTTTGGTGGTTGAATTGAAGATTTTCGAGGTAGGACTTCTTCGCTATGGTATGGAAAGGCTTTCCTTGGAGTTGGAGTGGTGTAGAGGAGTCGAAAAGGCGGTGGCCTGGTTGTGGAAGGACCAGTATGGAAGGCTGAAATCAGCTAGATAGGAAAATGCGACAAGAGCTTGGAGTCGCGAAAAGTAAAGGTCCACTTCTGTTCACCTCGGTGAATCCGACACCAAAGCGGAGCCAGAGATTCTCCGGCCAATTTGATGTGGCCCGTGCACCGGTGAGCTCGGTCAGCTACCATAAGTTCACGACTTCACACGGCCCGTCCACTTACACCAACTTGCAACAAACAACAATCGCCACCCTTCCCGTACCCCTTTGTCGATATTTCACTCCCGGAACCTCCAGAATCCTCACTTTCCGCTCTTTTCATTTGATTGAGGGCTCTATTCTTCAACCATCCGGGGGCGTGGCGCAATGGTAGCGTATCTGATTCCAGTCCAGAAGGCTGTCCGTTCGAGTCGGGCCGTCCTCAACTCACCTTTTGCATTTTTGAAGATTTGATCAAATTCAAGCTTCAGTTGAAATTTATGTATTTAGAGAGTCTCGTTTGAATCGGCGGAACATCTTGGTTGGTGATCACGGCTGGCCGGTGAGAGGTGCACCGCGGAGTATCTAAGTGAAATTTGACAGCAAGGGGCTGTCAATCTTTGGTCATCATGTATTCCGCACTAACTCAAACATCGCACAAATCACTGCGTCAAATCATCAATCGAAGTTGGTAAGTTGCAAGATCGACTGAACCTTTCTTAGCTCAAGAGACTTGGGACACACAATCGTCGAGTAAAGGAGCTATTTTCAGACCCGTTCACAAGGTGTCATATCCAAACGAAAAAGAAACTCCCCAAGATTTTCGCCAAGACCACAAGACTGCCGAGGAGAACGCAAGTGGAATTCAAGTGCCGGACACCCTGTGGCCAAGCATCACACACCGATTGAATTCCCATGATTGTCTCAAGATATGTTCCAGCCTGCAGACTGTGGCTTTTCCAACATGCTGTTGCCTTCCTCAAAGCCAATGTAACATGGCGGCTAAATTGAAATAGATTCCACGAAATCATCAGCTCGATGGCAGCATCTCTGCGTGATGTTGGCAGTCTGTGATGCAGGATGGAGGCACAACTGCACAACCCCGCACTGCCGCAATCCAACATTCAGCTTTGTAACGGGGGCCAATTGACTCAGGCACGACAATCTTGCATCCTGATATGTTACACGATTTGATGCAGCGGACGCACACACTTTTGGAAGGTCAGCTTATGTTTTTGCTGGCGCAGTATTCAGATTGGTCGCCTTCTCGAGGAGGCAAAGGATCCTCCCACCGGCTGTCTTATGCGACACCAAATAACAGCAATGAAGCCAGCCTGATGGTTGATCGCCACCATTGGAGGTCCGATTTTTTGGGAGAAGGTGCGCTGTTGCAGCCCACTCAGTCTCGATGAGTCTGACTTGTTGGAATCCAGCCCACACCCGTCAACTGTTCTGAGGTGACTTTTAGATAGACCTCTCTGATTTCTGCTGTGGGTAACGTTGCTATCAACGTGGTTTTTTATAAATTAGATGCCCACAGCCACTCAAAGAGCCACTTGTTTCATGATATGCCTCGATAACCCGTCGTCATTCAACATATGGTTTGGATCTAGATTGTTCGTCACTATGGCCTTCAATTTCGATCGATTTCGAAAGAAAGTCAGCACCCAAGACAGCTTCCATGTGGACGCCGGTGGCAGCTCAAGCCGTCCATCCTTGGAACCAGCAGGGTCATCTTCTTTTCTGAGCAACGCCAGCAACAGAAGCAAAAGCCCCGACGACAGGCCCAGCGGCTCGCGCATTCACCCTGGCAGTCTCTCAAAGGACCCCAGTTTCACCACAAGCATTCGAGACATGGTTATTGGTGATAAGAAGCCCAAAGGAAACGCCCCTGCCTCAAGCTGCAAAACTTGCTCCGTCCTGGGCTTTGAGGAGTTTTGCCAAAGCAACACTATACCGACGGCGAATTCATGGGTTCTCGATCTCGAAGACGTCATAAAGAACTATAGGAAGAAGAAATGCAACTTCTGCAGCCTGCTTTTCGAAGCGATATGTGCTCATGATCCCTTCGAGCACCCTGCCATCAAAGAACACATGCCCCAAGCATTTATTGGTTGGAGCTTCGGGGAATGGGCCGAGAGCCTTGACTGGAAGCATAAGATTCCTTGGTCGAGTCAGCCTTTTGGGAGGGGTCGCGATGTCATTCACCTCGAGCTGGATGCGAAAGACAGCCAGGTGGGAGATAAGATGGGATGGACCACCCACGATCCGAACACAGTTCAGAAAGATCTGGCATTCGCGACCGAGGTGGCAATCGCCAATACTGCTGTTCATCATGCCATTGAACAATCTTCAAAGTCGGGTGATCCAGATACGGCCCGGATTTTTGAGGCTGTACGTGGAGTTCTACCGGCGGTTGTAACACTGGTTAATCGAGCGGACAACAAGTTGCCTGTTGGCATCTCAGTGCAGACAACTGACGCCCAAGATGGATCTGGCGTAGGTCTGTTCGTCATCGGGGTCTGGGGTTTCGGGTGTGGGCCAAAGCCACCACTGTCTTGCTTGGTCACTTTCAACCTTCGTGTAGCAGCGTCATACCCCGTCCAAGCCGCTAAATGCAGCCTTCGCTACGGCAACATCATTGGCAGCAGGATCAACGTGGAAGATGACTGCCGGAGCTGGATGATACACTGCCTCGAGAATCATCTTGATGACTGCGACAAGCCGGCATGGGCATGCAATCTCCCTGCTCCAGCAGGGGAGCATTTCCGACTGGTCGACGTCAAGAATGAACGTGTCGTACGCTTCGAGAAGCCGCCGAGATATGCTGCCCTCTCCTACGTTTGGGGAAAGGAAGGCAAAACAGCACTCAATCTCCACGTAACAAACCTAGCAGACCTCAGCACATCAATCAACAATCGTGACCGCACTGTTGCCAAAACAACCCGCGACGCCCTCGAAGCTACAAAGCGTCTTGGAATCGATTACCTTTGGGTGGATAGTCTATGCATCATACAGAAAGACAAAAACGGGCGTGACGACGAACCTGCTCGCTTGTCGCAAATCCATCAGATGGACAGAATCTTTGGGCATGCTCAGATTGTCTTGGTTGCTGCGGGAGGATCTCATGCGGACGTGGGATTAGCGGGCGTGTCTCAAAGTCGGATTTCGGGACAAATCGCCAGCGAAGTTATTCCTGGCGTCAATGTTCTGCTCCCAGTCCAATATCCTCCGACATACGGAAGATGGGATACCCGAGCTTGGACACTCCAGGAGAAGCTTCTCTCTAAACGAATGTTGGTTTTCACGGAGAACCATGTCAGCTTCCACTGCAAGTTCGGTGTTCTGCGCGAAGATCTACCAGCTATTCAAGCTGGAAACATACCCCCTCCGATCGCTCCTTTGGCGCCGCCGAAAACGCGGCAAGATGTTTTGACGGCTACGAAGTGGGATGGGACACCTGTTATTCTAAGGTCACCCCATTTCACGCAATATGTGAGAATTCTGGAACAGTACACGAGTCGAGGCATAACAGACTCAGCGGATGTCTTGAACGGTGTAACGGGACTGCTCAATGTCTTGGGGGCTACCAGCAACCCTCGGGGTAGAGACATCAACGGCGAATCTTTGTGCATTCCGGGATCCACCACAGTTCGACAGAAAGAGAGTACACTCTACGGTCTCCCTGAAAGACTCCTTGACCTCGCCCTTCTCTGGCAACCACCCGCGAGTGAGCAGGTTCATCTGGTTAGGCGCCATTTGGGTAAGACCGATAGAGGAGCTTTCCCCAGCTGGTCATGGGCTGGATGGGAAGCACATCCGACGACTTCAAATGGCTACGCCACAGAGACTCACCCAGGAGTTCGTTTTGAGGAGCCATTCTGGGTTTCCAGCTACAACGATCTATGTCTTCGAAAGATTATGGCATTTGGACCCGAAGCTGAAGAGCGCTACAGGCCATTGATAACATGGTACAAAATTCAGGAAGAGAGTATCCAGGAAGCAGACTCCCATACAAAAACGAAAAGACGACCTGTCGCCTCAAATAAGCCGGATCACTTGCGATCATCAAACGTGAGAACTCAGTTGAGCAACAGATCGTCCGAAGTTGATGTTAGAAGCAAGCTTTCTCTTATGCCAGTGAACAGCAATGGCTTGGGGATTGTTCTCGACGTGCCAGACGTAGCGAAAGGGCTCCTAGACCAAGCTCTGAAACTACCTACAACACAGACTTCGTCTGCCCCTGTTGGTCACAGAGGAGCAGCTCTTCCCCAGATCCCGCAGCATCTTCTCAAGGCACACTGTCTTGTCTGCGTATCACAGGTTGCGCAGTTTACCATGCATGCCATCGACAAGGCTCGTACAGAAATCCTTTGGAAGCAAAAGCAGAGACCCAACAGCCGATTCGAGATTCCCAAAGAGAATCAAGACATGAGCACTGGAGCACAAGACCCAGAACTCGAGATCGCCAAGGAGTTGCTCATTACGGAAGCTGAGATACGCGGCAAAGATGATGAGGTCGCTGGATTTGTGATTCCCACCAACAGCAAACAGTCAATACACCTGAAGGCGTTTGATTTTGTTCTCCTTTCGGAGTCTCAGTATTGGGGTAACGAGAAGAGAGTGGACGTGAACGGCTTTCCGCTTTACAACGTCATGATGGTGGAGTGGGATCATGGAGGCAAGACTGCTACTCGTGTCGGACTTGGCAAGATACAGAAAAATGCTTGGATGGCAGCAAATCCGGCTTTAAGAACGGTGATACTTGTTTAGATATCGGAAAGATAGGCCAGGCTCGCTATCCAGTCATTGATGTTGGCTAGTTTGTGGTGTTTAAGGGCAGGAGACCGAAAAGCCCTAGTCAAATGCCATGTCTGAACATTTACAGTCGATTAACAAATATCCCGGGTCGAAAACCATTCCTATCGGGACTTTGATACTGAGCCACTTGAATCTATGGTGAGAAGAAGCCATGCGTAAGGCGCAAGGCGCATCCACTGGAGAAGGCAGACTCCAAAGCTGCCTGAAGTACAGGACGTATCAGGAGCTAAGGCTCTTTCGGACGGCGGAATAGCATAAGGCAGTCTTCTCAAAATGACAGAAGACAGACAAGAGTGTGCCACGTATGCTTGTTTTTCTTTGGATAATGAGAGAGCCTTGCTCTATTGCGGCGCGGCGGCGCAGCAGCTTACGCGAGCTCAATCTTCGATCTTACGCATAGAGCAGGGCTCCAACACCCCCGTGCCTGACTACTTACACTTCTCATGCCAAGGTATAGAGCGCGCTGCGCCCGCAGGCTGGGGTTTCCTATATTGTTGATTTCCTCACACACACAGCTTTTCTCAGTGCTCGACAGGTGGCGATACACATGGTGGTTGCAAGTCACACCTTGACCGGTGGGTTTCCGCATGCTTGACAACAAGTTCCTTAGGCCACCGAAGAGCCTGATAAGCTTTACTGAACTCCTTTTACTTTCAACCCTGCACGATATAAGGTGGAATTACACTTCACATCGCCTCTCTCCCACTCGAAGCTGCCATAGCTCACTTCGCGAAATACAACCCACAACGATCGTTCCGGCCGGGCCTCAGAATCATATGCCCCCGGACTTGAAATTTTTCAGCATGGCAGATGGACTTGACAGCATTACTAGGTGGCAGATACCGCCATCGGATCTGACTTGGGACATTGACGCGAACTGTCAGCTGTTTGCAGACTTTGCAAACAACATTATCCGGAGATCCTCGGAATACTCTATGTGGGACTATTGTGCGATTGATCCTGACGCACTACGTGCCTACGTACTTTCCTCACTACCGCCTGATCTTCAGGAAGCTGCTACGAATGCTACATCATCTGATATTACACTGTGGTATATGCTCGGTTGCGACTATGCCGACTTGCAAAACGATTGCAATAGTGAGGCTTGCCGTAGCGCAGTCAATTTCAGAGATGCAGTGTTTGGTGGAGTGACAATGCCACAATTCTGCGTCACGGAATTACGGTCACGTCTCGGGATGCAAGGTAATGCTGACATTGCCGGTATCGGAGTAAGTTACACGACAGAGGCTCACTACTTCACATCTGATTCTGACCGATGCAGGTTGCAATATCATTATGCATTGAGGCCTTTCTTGTTATCGCATTTTTCACATCCCACATGGCCGATATTATCCGGGATCATGAGTCATCGTCTTCATCACCTCCTTCTAGAGTCAGAAACGCTCTCAGAGCAGTCTTACCAGCTTTTTATTGGAGCTCTGTCATTCTCAACTTGGGTATAGTTGCTGCATCTCTTAGGACTGCTACTGTTGTATCAGGTGATGATCAAACCGAAGCACTGATCAACTGGCGGAACGGCGGATCATTAAGCCCTTACGATGTGCAGCTTGCAGCTCTGGTGTCAGTGTTCAGTTTCCAACCAACTTTCATGGCTGGCTTGATGCTTGCTGTATCGGGAGAACGGAGGCGTGTTACACTGAATCTCGCCATAGTTCCTGTGTTAGGACTGCTTTTGGTGCCCCTTCTCTACATGACAATGACATGGATTTCTGTGTTCCCCAGGATGGTCGCCAGTCTGTTGACTGATGAGTTCGACCCGTCCTATATCAACTCAGTGGCGAAGAACACAGTTGTTGTTTCTGATTGTTTAACTTGGGCAATGCTTGCTATCTGTGGGATCAAAGTCACAAGCAGCTTTGCAAATCGCCTTATGTCGAGAAGACCGAGGCGAGAACCAAAACCCCTGAGCAGTCAAATAATGATTGGGGTCTACCTGATTCAACTGGTATCGATAATTACGATGTTGATCTCGCTCTATGTCTTCTTCTGGCTTCGAAGCATCACGATTGGACTTGGAGATGGTAACGATCCTCAACTTGACTGGGGATTTGGTCAGATTTTGGCCCTGACAACCTGGATCCCTGTGATAGTTGATTTCGTCTATACATACATTGGTAAGTCCATGTCCTTTCTGACTGAAGAACTGCACTTCAGACTAACCGAACTGAATTATAGTTGGGATGAGAAAGGGTCTCGAAGGCCATATGCCTGGTGACTATAGCGTAGTTCCCACGGCAGATCTCGAAGATCAGGATAGCCCTCCGGAAAACCACATGTTACAACCTATGGCTGACAGTCAAACGTCCCCAAGTTCCGGCTCGGAATCTCTCAACCAGTCTTCTTCTTCCCGTCCGCGCTTCTCAGAACCCGCACATCCCTTCCCCAAACAACAGCCAGCGCCGCTCCGCCAGGCCCAACGACGGCACTCCACATGACCAACTTACCCAAGTCCATCACAACCTGCCCGACGCCCTTCGTCTCATACGCCAAGTAGACAATCCAGCTCCACGTCGCCAAGGAAGCGCAGTACGTATCCCACTGCAGCAAGTCCAAGATACCCCTCTCCAGCGAAACCATCTTCACCTGAGACCACGGCGAAGTGGGACGAAGAATCTGCACCATTGACTCGAAAGCGGTCTCTGAAGCCCAGTCCGCTTTCCAGAAAACATAACCGATGACGCCGTAGGTCGTGACGGCAACAACAGAGAGGGCGTAAGCGTAGATCCTGCGGAAATCATTAATCTTCGTCAGCGGCCTCGACTTTGCGGCTGAAGGGACCACGCCAAGGGCGCCGATGAGTTGGGCAAAGATCAACTGCCAGATGTCGGACCAGAGGGGGAAGGCCTGCCAAACGGCGAGGAGGATCTCCTGGGTGCGCGGAGTGATGATACTGGGGCTCGGGAGCGCTGCGAGGAGCGTCGGGATGAAAGCGCCAAAGGTGAGGGAGCCGATGACCGCGCGAGCTTGGACTGGGTCGATGGAGATTGCGGCTGCGAGTTCGTCTGGTGTTAAGGACCCTGGGATCGGGGAGGTGTAGAGGTATGCGAGGAAGTAGAGGGGTAGAGTGGCGCCGAAGGTTATGAGTTGCCAGAGCATTCCCCAGGAGGTCGTGCTGTTCACTTGTTAGGGCTGGCTTCTACTGAGGTTGTCAAGGACGAACTCACTAGGAGACCAGTCTTTCTCGATTTCCGGCTCTCAGACCTTCAACTTGAATGAGAACATGCACGGCGAGCAGTTGGCCGGCCATGAAGATTGAGAACAAGGTAAGATTCGGGTCATTGCCGTCAAGGATGGGCTTGAAAAACCGGACGAGCATAGTGAGTAGGCTGTCCAGCGGCTTCAACGTGGTGAACGTAATCGGCTCTCCGGCAAGGGCCGACTCTGTGGAGCCCATAAGGCCATTGGTTACGGAGAGGTCGTAGATTGCGACCTTGGCTAGATAGAAGATGGATATGAACACGGCGGTGAATACTGGCCGAGACATGTTGGCTATATTTGTTGATGATTGGAGATGCGATGAAGTATTTGGTGATGAGAGAATGGAGTCTTTACGGTTGATCGTACCGGACCCGAGTGGAGTCATCCTGAGGTTAATCTCACCGTAGATCCCGGCGATCAGCTGATCGACGCAACTCATCTGAAGTTGTACCCGTTCACATCCTCGGGAAGCTACTATATTCCCTCGGCAAGAAAAGTCATAGCATCTCACTTGATGGGTCTCATTGGCTAGCTCATCGACACTTGAGTTGATTGAATTGTATGTGATTTGTCTGAAGATTGAAAGTAAAAAAGTATCCTCCAAGCCTTTTGTGGCCCATCCTGAACGCCGTTTTGATGAATTCCTAATTACTCTGCAGAGCGATGATGCAGTAACATTACAGTTATATCATGCGATTCCCCTCATACCCTTATTCTATGGCGTGCGCATTATGAGCTCGACGGCTCTGGGGATCCGGCGAAGCGGAACACGATGTAAAGTAGCGGCGCAATCTTTCTGAGTCATTCGGACCTCTTGCTTTCAGGCAGAGGCTGAGGGGACTCGAGCCAGCCGCGCGACGCAGCATCCTTGATGCCGTCGAACCAGATGTGCGCCATCTTTGCGTAGCCCGCGTCGCTGGGGTGCGTGCCATCGACGAGATCGCTCTTGAGTGGGCCCTTGTCGGAGTGCATATCCACGAGGACAACCTTTTTGGAAATCGCCTGCTGCTCCGAGGCGAGCGTCTTGTACTGCTCGTTGACCTTGAGAACGCACGCCTCCGTGTTGTTGTTCCCGTTCACGAGAAGAGTGGAGAGGACGATAGTTGCGCGCTTGGAGGTGTCCCAGATGTAGTTCATCATCTCGAGCATGCGAACGTGCGCGTTATCCGTGTCGTAGCTCTGCGCGCAGTCGTTTGTGCCGGCGTTGATGAGGACCAGGTTCGGCAGCGTCTCGGGGACGGAGATCTTGGCCTTTGCGAGAACCTGCTCGATGCGGAAGCCGGACCAGCCCTCGTTATCGTTGTCTTCCATTGTACCGTTGGGGTGGTTGCCGACCATGTCGACGGGGTTGCCGTCGGCGACGAGGAGGTCCCGGAGGACCTTGCGGTAGCCGTTGCCGTCTGAAGAGGTGAGGCCGTAGGTGATGGAGGCGCCGAGGGGCATGAGGCGGAGGGAGACGTTGCCGCCGACGAGGATGTTGAAGTCGGCTCTTGGGTGCAGTGCCGGGGCTTGCTGCGCGGGGGCGGCGTAGACTTTTTTGTGGGTTAGTGATGCCGTTGAAGAGTTGGAGTAAAACCTCGGGGCATTATGGAAGTTGAACTTACCAGCAGAGGTTGACGCCAATAATGTGGCTGCCCACCGGAGGAGGAAGACGCTTGAGTACATGGTGGTGGTGAGATATCTGATTGCCAGGTGATGAACAGCGATGTGAGTGAGATGTAAGGTATTCCCAAATCTGAGTGAGATGAGTGAGGTCAACGACTGCTACGATGAGACACTACGGACACGGGTTCACGATGAGACGCATGGGCAGTGGAGAGGTTAAATAAGTATACAAGATGCCCGAGTGAAAGGATCGGATACCCAGGGCCAAGGAAACAAGCTCACATAGGCTGGGAAACGGATCATGTTGTGGCAAGGACACCCCCTTGGTGCGACTCGGTACCTTGCTTTGCCAGCTTGCCTTGCTTCTTTTTGCGCTGTACGAAGCTGCACACTGCCAGCTCTAGTTCATCGAGAAACAACCCCCCTTCGGAAGGATCAGACGGCTCATTGCGATGTTCATTGGACCAATGCCGCGTTGGGAAAAGTGAGGTGGGCGGGAGGAAGAAGGGGTGAGGGGGGTGTGTGACACTAAGGCGTGCAAGGACGCGGGGGTGGTCGGACAAGGATGACGGAGGGGAGACTTTAGAGGAGCAGTGTCTGGATGACATGTCAAGGCGTAGGCGATGCCGAGGGATAGGATTATGTCAATGAGTCCGAAGGACGGGATGATGGGTTGGGCGAGTGACGGGAGCAGGACGTTGGAAGTTCGGGGAGGATGGACGAGGCGGCGGCGGAGGCACGGCGGTGCTACTTTCAATCGTCGTGATCCTTCTATCAGTCTCGTGAGTTGTTAGTGTGAGATGAGATGAGGTTGAGTGAGAAAAGAGATTGAGCATTGCGTGGACGGAGTGAAGAGCACCAAGGTCTCGTTCCTTCGACTGTTGCCATCCATGATCCATTCGTACCGTCTATGATCTATTACCCGCAAAGAAGCAAAGATACAGAGCAAGGGTCCGACGTTAGAATGTCTCTCGTCTGGAAGATACGGCACAGCAACACGGCAGAAGAGTTCCATTTCTTTGCATTTTACATCTCAGTGTCGGTACCTGAAAGTGATTTTTACACACTGAGTGCAACTCCCCGCAGAAAATTGAGTGATCTCTTGCAGGGAAAATGAGTCTTGTCCCGCATTAGGCACCTGCCAATCTGTTTCACCAACCCTGTAAGTCTTCCACTGAGCTTCCATTTTACCGCCATCTCACTTTTTCTCATTCAACCTACATCATTGTTCCTTGTATTAAGTTGGGAACTTATTCTCCGTGGCTGGGGCTCATAGGATCATTCGGAGTGTGAGTGGTTCAGTGAGATCCCCATGAGAGAAACAAAGTACGGATAGGAATAATAAGACGGCTGGGTTCGGATGGTGAGAGGAGACTGTTCGGTAAGAGTGCTAGTGAACTCGCGCCCCATAGGTGAGAATTTGGCTTCCCTGGCGGAGTCTAGAAGAAGATCCCGTATGGCTGTTTTTGGCGTCATCCCGCAGGCTTCAAGCACTGAACACATCCCTGACCACCCTCTTTCCCTTCCTCATCCTCATCGGTCGGTCGCCGTTGCATCTTCTTCCTTTATCCGGGAATAGCTGTGGCTTTACACGCGGAGTCCCTCCGAACTCTTGGTCCCAGCAAATAACTTCCCGACGGCGGCTCAGTTTCACTCTTACAAACACAGCCGCACGCCGCGCTTCTCCAGCCTCTTCCTGTTGTCTTCCTATTTCCCACTCACTCTACTCGGTACAGAAGTCTCTAATGCTGCGCGCCCACGTCAGATATTTTAAGCCCGGACTAATGTCCCCGACTCCTGCGTCAAGCTTGCTCTCGTTCCTGCATCTGCCTCCTGTCTGTCCCACCGTTTCGTGCCTATTCATTGCGCTGCTCGGATTCCCCTTGTCCGAGCCCCCTTCTGCATTCCAGGGCCTCCAGCTTCCAAGAGCCCTTCAAGGGGCCCGGCTGCCGACAACGCGAGGGATTCGGTTCAATGACGGAAACATGTCCCAACCCGGACGCCATCCGGACTATTGATGTGCGTTTACGAAAGCTGACAGCACCCGCGCTCGACAGCGCGCCAGAGTGACAGAAATGCAGAGAGACGCATGTCCCTTGCGGTCTGTCCGAGTCCCTGACGTCAGGGATCGACAAATGCCAGCAAAGACGCAAAACAGTTGAGAGTGTTTTTTCTTGTCGCGTGGTAGACCACCACCGGCGATTGCGCACTAATTCTCATTGGGACAGATCGGCGTTCAAAGTCGATCGCCTCAAACGATCTCACTTGAGGGTAATGCGGCATCGCGACGTTCGCGGTAGGTGTGAGAAGCCAAGTCTTGAAGGGCCGGCAGAGATGTGCCAAGACTGTAACCATGGTCTTTCACGTGAGACGACATCAGATCTGTTGTGCGTTTTAGTGAGATTCGTAGTCCTGATGCGTGATAATGAATTGCATGTTGAAATGCGACATAGCATTTTGTTGAAATTCGACTCTGCACTGCTCAAGGAGCCGGTCAGCCTTCACCGAAGGTCTTCACCGAGATTACCGTACTCACCGAGACTTCACCGAGGGGTCTATCCTGAACCTGAAGCCACATCCAAACAGCCTTCTCTTCCAATAAGCTCCTTATCTCATACAAGAGCTTCTGAAGTCATCTGATGAAGCTCAGGCATAGGTTCATCTCCGTCTTAAAAGACTCCACCGTTGTGAATGACCGGTAACAAGTGACTCTGGTCTCATCTCAACTTATCTGCGGCCAATAACCGTTGGCTCCGTCACACCCTCCAACGGCCCGCTGCAGTGTTCCGTGTTAGTGCACGTTTGGTTTTACCCATATTTTTGACACGAACACCATCAATGTGATCGGTTCGCGATATCAGAATGCAACCAGGAGCCTGGTCTTATAGTTCCTTATGACCTGATGCTTATCACGTCTTCAGGTCCGTGGGTTGCTGTTCCTCCCCAGCCATCCCAGCCATGACTGATGCGTTGGCCTTGATAAATGATGGCTGTCCTTGAGTTGCGGGATTCGAGGGTACATATCTTTCACTCGAATCTCGAAGCTCAAGGTTCCATCCCTCGATATCTCAGAGACCCTTGTCGAGACCAGAGTACCGAGTCGACTGCCGAAAGCAACCATGTCGAAACCTCTCCCCTCCCGTCCAAGTGAGGACGACAACGAGAACTCCCCGCTTCTACCCCGCGATGCCTCCCCCTCCTCTCCCCACGACGAAGCCAACGCCTCCGCCGACCCTAACCCCTCGACGCTGCTCCTCTTCCGCCGCGCCGTCGGCATAAACACCCACCTCCAACCTGCCGACGACTGCGACCTCGAAGCAGGCCGCACCTCCGCCCTCGGCATCTACGCCTCCACCATCGCCGCCCACCGCCGCTTCCGCACCCTCCGCATCCTCGCCACCGTGCTCATCTACAGCTGCCACGCAACGCAGATCGTCGTCGGCGGCGTGCTCACGTGCCTGGGCCCGAAGGCGGGCGTCCATCGGACGAGCATCACGGTGCTCGGCGGGGTGAATACCGTTGTCGCGGGCGTGTTGACGTGGATGAAGGGGCAGGGGATGCCGGATAAGTTGAAGAATAAGGAGATTGATTTCCGAAAGCTGCAGAATTGGATTGAGGAGACGGAGGCGTTGATGGTTCTCGGGACGGTCGGCGGGACGAGGGAGGAGGTTGGGGGGTTGGTTGAGGCGGCGTATCGGAGGTGGAATGCGGCGAACGAGCGGGGAGAGGACGGAGGGCCCGGGGAGGAGTATGAGGATGAAGGGAGAAAGGGAAAGGGCTCGACGATGAGATGGCTTCGGGGACGGTGATACTCAGGCTTGAGATGTCGAGGTTCACTCGGTTCACGCGAGTTGTGAGCAGTTCATTGAGCCGTTACCAAGTTCAATTAACGTCTCACATCAACTTATCATATCTCACAGCTTAGCCTTCACGACGACAGCATCACTGCCATTCTGCTGATTCCTCTGTCCCCTCCTCAGCATCGGAATATCATCCGTCACGCCAGGTATCTCGTTCTCACACCATTCATGCCCACCCAAACCACTCGCCAGTATCGCGCCAAACCCTCCCTTCTGACCTTTTTCCCCAATGAGAGCCTCCTGGTCAAGCGTCCCAAGACAGATACTACCCCACTCCTCCCCCTCGCTATGGTAGTAAAGCCACGAGCCGCATTCTGTGCAGAATCCTCGCCTCGCCAAGGGTGTGATACTGAACTCGCGTAGTGTTGATGTGCCTTTGGAAGACGTCCACTTCATGGGCCAGGGGACGCGCTGAAAGGCGACAAAGAGGGCACCGGATTGCTTGCGGCACTGGGTGCATTGGCACGTCTGGGCGTTAGCGTTGAAGTCGTGGGTGTCTGAGAAGGTGGCTTCGTAGCGGAGGGCGCCGCATAAGCAGCCTCCTGCTACCGTCGTGGGTTTTGGTCCGGATGGAAAGGATGAAGTCATCGTTGTGCAGTGGTGGGGGATCTTGAAAGGATATTGTGGTGTTGAGTTTTTGAGTGAGATGTGAGTGAGTTGCGACCGGTGAATGACGAGGTCTCAGACTCTAGAGACTTGAGATTTCACAAGGAGCAAGGGTTATGGAAAGCTTCGAGATGAACGTATGAGAGTCGAAGTTTACATGCTTAAAAATCTCGAAGGGCGTGAGTTTTGTGTTGTGTTTTGTCAGCGTCTACGTCAGAGTTGTCATTGACGCCCTTCGTGATGCGGGAGCCGATAACACGAGCCATAGTCAAGCCCCGCCACGACTTGACATCGCCAACACCTCAGCGCAAACTCAATTGGACTAGAGACTTGTGTATCATTGAATCGTGAATTGCATGTACAATCTGTCTACGAAGTCTTTCATACCTCTATATCGTACCCCTTTTGTACCTGTTCTAACCAGTCGGAGCCGTAGAACCATACCTTGCCCTAGTTTAGTATGCCATTCCCAAATGTCAATGTCTTCATCTCAAAGCCAATAGACAACATAATTCACCGGTCCTCCTCATCTTCTGCAACCCAGTACGCTTCAATCTCAACAATACACGTCCGCGCCGGGACCGTAACAGCAATGGGAAATCCGCCATAGTCTGGATCGTCATTAGGCATAATCAAAAACTCTCCGCTGCGCGTCTCATCACCATTGAACACCCGCAGCGTCCGTAGCTCTCCCTTCTCATCAACCTCTTTCTCAGCAGCCGCAAGAATTCCAGTAAACGTCGCTTCAGGCCGCACGCTCTTGAAGTGGACGTTGAAGCCGCGGCCCACGGCCAGGAACTTGGCGTCACCAAGGTGAATGACCATACCGCCGCCGGGACCAGGCTTGCCAAACACGAAAGCGCGCTCGACGATAACCTCAACGTCACCAATCACCTTTGTCCACCTCTCGCCCTTGCCCGCCGTGTTGATCTCCTCGTCAAAGAAGAAGCCGAACCTATCCTCGGGCTTCGCGGCGAGCAGGTACGGCGCCACCTGCGCGAGCAGCTTGAACTCGCGCCCGACAACCTCCGGGCCGGTATCGATGCCAAAGGGGCTCGCTCCGAGGGCGCCGTAGGTGCCGTAGGACAACCACACCCGCCGCGCGCCGTTCTCATCGCGCCGCTGCTCGGGGATGAAGAGCGGGTTGCCCTGGGCCGTGTAATCTTTGCACACGGCCTCGTAGTTGTGGAAGTAGAGGTCCGGCGCGAGGAAATTGAGGGACTTTTCGGCGGTGAAGATTGTGTTGTGTCGCCAGATATCAAGGACATGTGGGCAGGGACCGCCGGAGGGGTAGACTCCCGGTTCGGCGCCGCCGCCTACGACGATGGGAACGCCACGGAGATCGAGGTCGGAGGGATCGTCGAAGTTGAGCCAGGTGTTTGTGTAGAGGGGGATCTCGTATTCCTTCTTCCCGGCGGCGGCGACGCGGCCGACGTAGGAGGAAATATGGTAGGCCATGAAGGCCTCGTCCGCTGATGAGCCGGAGCCGAAGACTGATGTCCACGAGTGTGAGCCGGAGGCAGGCGGGTCGACGAAGCGGGCCTTGAATTTGGGGTGTAGGTCGGCTGATTTCTCGTTGAGGTGACGGAGGAGCGCCTCGGGTACGGGTGTGGCAAAGGCTTTGTCGGCGCGGCGGGAGCGGTCGCGGGAGTCGCCCAGCAGACCCGTCTCGTTCTCGACCTGGATCATGAGAACCGTGTTGTGCTCGGCGTCAACCTGGGCGAGGTGCTTGCACAGCGCGGCGAATGCCCTCGAGTCCGCCGCGCAGCCTTCCTCGCTGAGCGGTGTGACCATCTCAATGGTCCTCTTGACGCCCCCCTTCTCGAGAACCTGCACGCGCGGGAAGCGCTTGGTGTCTCGTTTTACCCAGTGCGGCGCGTACGTCGAGATGCCGTTTTTGTAGGTGCCGAACCAGAGGAGGACGAGGTGCATGTCGTGTTCCCGCGCGCCGGCGAGCACGGCGTCGAGCTCGGAAAAGTTGAAGCTTCCCTCGGTGGGCTCGATGTCCTCCCATGTCACGGCGCCGAGGAGGGTGTTGATGTGGTTTGATTTCATGGCGGGCCAGACCTCGGACATGAAGCGGGCGGAGGAGAGGGAGGAGTTGTGAAGCTCGGCGGAGAGCATGAGGAAGGGCTTGCCCTTGAGGTAGAGCTGGGTGTTGCCATTGGTGCGGCGGAGGTGAGGGAGTTGCGTGGCGGGGGATTCTGAAGCTGTCATGATGGGCAATGCAGAGAAAGAGAGAGTATGTGTGTTTGAAAGTGAGCTGTGACAAAGACAGCGTGAGATGAGAGAAGAGTGAGAAGGGAGAGGGCAGAGAGCTGAAGACTACGGATTAGAAACTCTCGTCGCTCGTCGTCAGGTTGAAATAATGCCAGAATGATTTCGAGTCAACATTATCCCGAGGAGCTTTCTCTATCAACGAACCGCTTTTTGGAGGGTCTCTCGCCGGCGCCAGCTCCGTCTCGGAGAATCCGAATATGGCTTGCTGTATGGTTACCCGGTGTGGGCTTCTATCTGCTTCCGGCAGTCGAAACGTCCGCCATTCGTCCGCTTCAAGACGTTTGTATGGAGAAGAGGATCCATAACTGCCGCGGGATGTCAGACGGGAGTTTGCAGATCGCCTGGTGAGCCGAGTTCGATCCCGTTAGATGGCTTCGGATATTCTTCGCAACTCGACTTACAGCTTCGGCTATTCTTTGACCTGTTACCATTGTCCCATGTTTTAGCCCATGTCAAAGTGGATTAACATCCAAGAGACGAGACGGTTTCCCCGCACCTCTGATGACGCATTTTAGTTGGGGGAATTAAAAGTTGAAAGAAGGCTTTTGATCCGAGTTCCAGGAACTAAACATGCGTTGGCTTCGGAAATACTTCGCATCTGTTGAGGCTTTGAGTCTCTCCACAACCCACAGTCTCCAGAAATAAAGTCTCCGCAACCCGCAACCACGCCGGATGGATTGTGGATGTGTGGAGTCCAACGTTGCGTTCGGGCTGCCGCCGAAGAGCGTTCCCGCCCACCATCACATCCTCTGGGGGATAGTGAACATCATTGGACGTTTTGGTTTATGCATGAGGCAGTTGTACTAGTTCGCGGGTCAAGTAGATACCTTGGGTCATTTGACTTGTCTTTTATTTTCATTGCCTATTACTCTGCGGACTCTCAATCCCAGGTAAGCCAGGCCAACAATCAATATCATCCAGCTTCCGCAGTAACTTCTCCAGCTTCAGCCTAGCGCCCTCACTCACCAGTGCGCCGTCGCCGACGTCCATCTGCTCCATGTACGCCGCACCGCAGTCCCTCAGCTTCGGGATCAGGCTGTTGCCGTTCTGCTCCAGGACGTGCTGCGGCATATGGTACAAGATTTCGAGCAGGTCGTCGACGATGCGCTGGTGCTCCTCCGCGCGCGTCTTGACCGTCGATCCAAACTTTTGCAGCAAGTTGGAGCGGATGTTGAGGCTCGTGATGAAGAGGTTGGCGATTTGCGTGTCGTGACCCTCTGTTATGTGAGAGGGGCGGGACAGACCCCCGCGCCAGCGTAGTTCGGGCGGAAAGTTGTCAATGATTGTTTGGATTTTGGCCAGCCAGTGCTTGAGAGCCTCTTCTTGGCCGCCGTAGAGGCTCATGGGGGCGGTTTGCGCCTCGTGCCATATAAGGAAGAGGTCGCTTAGCTGGTTCAACCCCGGGACGTAGGAAGTTGTATCGCCGTGCCACGGCGGTAATTCCGCGTGGGACAGCTGTGGCCCTGTCTCGAGTTGCGAGTCTGTCAGGGGTAAAGGGCGCAGGTGCGCGCGGTTCTCTTGATGAGAGACGATACTTACAGACAGTCTCCCGAATATGTCCGCACTACTGTTCAGATGAAGGAAAACGTCAACCGAAGATTGTTCTTCGTCTCGACTTTTGCAAGGTTGTGTTTGTGTTTGTGTGGGGGGGCAAAGACAGGGGTAAGTGCATTCAGTCAAGGGAGCAACGTACCAATACGCTGCAAAGATCAGCCAAAAGAGCCTCTTCAGCAGCTGCTGCTCGGACATATCCAGGTCCGCCATGCGGTAGTACGCAAGGAACCTCGCCCCCGCCGCCGCCTCGGACATACCATGGAACGAACCCATGTCCCCCAGCCCGTCCTCGTTCATCGAACTGGCCGACGTGCCGATATTGTACATTGCGACGCACCAGTCCAGCGAGTAGACGGGCTTCCGAAGGCCATGGTCGAGCAGGTGCTGCTCCTCTATGAAGTCCAGACACAGCTCGACCGTGACGGGGCTGTAGTCGGCCCTCCGCAGCGTCGCTACCGTCGCGGCGCAGACGCTCACGACGAGGGCGCAAAAGGTGCGGTCGCTGTTTGTCTCGCCGGCCTTGAGGCGGTGCAAGAAGCGACGCCTGTGGAGGACCGGGGCGAGGGCGTGTACCTTTTCGAACCAGTCGTGGAGCATCCGCTGGATGAGATCTTCGGGGGCGAAGAGGGCGAGACGATTACTGTGGTGGGATCCCGTGGTGGTGTTGGGACTCGGCGCGCCTGCGATGATGGCGCGCAGGTCTGTTGCTGAGTGAGGCGTGGCAGTTGTCTGAGGGTGAGGGTGAGAGTGAGAATGAGACTGGGGTGTCTGAGTATGGGTCGAGGATGAGGCGGCGGGTGAGGGTTGGTAGGCGAGGCCTACGTCTGGTGAGGTGATGTCTGATACTGAGGGACTCCTCTGGCTGGCAACCGATGCGGTAGCATTTGCTTGCTGTTGCTCGCGTTGTTGCTGCCGATGTTGCTGTGCGTGTCTGTCATGGTAGGTCAGTATGTGAGCTCTCGGCTGGATAGCGTCATCCCATGATGAGATGAGATGCAGGGCCGGGGCTTAGACGGACTTGTTTGGTGGTCCTCTCCTCCGCCGCGGCCGTTCATGAGTGCATTGTATGTCGAGGAATGTACAGCCTTGGCATCGACCCTCTCCCGAGCCGTAGAGACACTGCCGGTCCAGTCAGTTCAACAGAGTCTGGGGTGAGATGGTTGAACTTCGGGACGAAAGAAACATGGGATAGAATTGACCAATGTCGTCCACGGTCAGATGTTTACAAAAGTCCCTGTACGAGGTACCCGACGATGAAAACTAGTCATCATGGGTAGAAGTCTCGTGAGACATCAAGGGCTAGACTTTCGCGCTGCTCACTCTGACTTTGCGGGACCGACATGCGTCGCAGGCGTTCTGATTCCTGATAATCTTGGCCCTCGGCCGCCCACTGGCTGGCGAGGCGGGAGACGTCGAAAGTGGGGAGTGAGCCCCGTTTCCGTCCGGTGGTGGCCCAGTTGCTCGGTTGATCTCCATGATGTGTGGCTTGGGTGGTTGGTTGGTAGACGGCAGTAGTCTTTGTCAGACCGTATCAAAAGACCCGAGCCCGCTCACACTGATGAGTACCAGATTAGATCGGATCAGACAAGCTGCTGCCACTCATCAAACCTGCAAGCTGCGGGTGTGTGTTCGATCCCCCGGATAAACCTCTCAGAATCCGGGGAGGGAGCAGATGATCCAATGGTGGAGAACACAGCTTTCAGCTCTTTTGCCTGTTTAGGACGATTGGAACATGAAGCCTCCAAGCTGACGATGTGGTAGGCTGGAATGCGGAGAGGATGGATCAACGTCAAAACGTGGCCGCATGGGTCATGATTGTCCGGCGATATTCCCGCGTTTGCTCTGCCCAGAAGGAGACCAAGAGAAACAAAGATGTTGGAGACTTGGAGTAGTATGGGGAAGAGAGAGTGTGAGAGAGGCAACGGTCGGGGGGAGGGCAGAGGGACATCCGAGGAGAATTGTCGGGAGTTGTGTATTTTGAACCTTCTTGCAGGGCGCTCTGCGTCGCAGAAACGTCGGATTTACTCCTTCTCTCTGCTCCTCTTTGCTCTCGTTAGCCTCCATGTGCTCGGGAGAAACTTGCAGGGAAAAGCCCCGCACTGGGGCGTTACGAATCGAGTCAGGCCCAGACTCTGAAGGGCATAGCTCCAGACCTTCCAGGAACTCTAACATTCCCTGCTTTCTCATGCTCTTTGCTGGTATTCGTACGAAAGAAAGCAAGTACACTGTGATTCCCTTCTGCAGATGCTTGTCGCTCGCCGGGTACAAAGTCCAATTCTGTCACTTGGTTGGTTGGTTGAGGTTACCTTTTCCCCCAGATAATCCATTCTTCAGTCATTTTCATGGGGCTAGCCCATCCGGACCGCTGGGTTGGAGGAACTGAAACGAATTTCTTGTCCCTGACTAACTAATTGACCACGCCATGCCTACCTAACCTTACTCCTAGGATGTGCCACAGACCAGACCTTGACATGAACAGGCGGCGAACAGCTTTCCCCGGAACCTAAATGTGGAGAAATAATTTTGGATCTTGTACTTCCCATTCTCTTCTCTTCGTCCAGTGTCTTCCCTGAGATTCCCGCAATCCACCCCCACGGGGACTTGTCGCTCCAATGAACATCTAGTGTCTCGTGCTCCTATTTCTCGGTACTGGCAAAAAACTTGGATACCCGCTTTCTCTCAGTGACGTCTCATAGGGAGAGGAGCAGCCCATCTTGTTAAGTTGTGTGGCCTGTTTGCTCGGCCGCTATCGAGCCGTCATCGGATACAGCACCCTCGGTCTTCGCCTCGGGGGTGGGCTGTTCAGTTCGCAAGCGGGAAGGGGTCACGGCACGGTTAGTGGGCGTTGAGCAATATCGAGATGCCATTTATCCAGAACCATCTACCGATTTATTATAAGTACACTTGCCCCGGTCCCATTACCCAGGAATCATGGGATGCAGCAAGCCGGCATCTCGGTAGCGACAACCAGGCCCTTCAACTCTTCTATTCTGAGCGTTGCATTTTCCTTTTTGACTCGTATTATACACAACTCGCAACGAAGTCATGGATCTGAAGCAGAAGGAAAGTCACGGCGTTGACCACGTCGACGTTGCCACCATGGACGATTCGCATCTACAGCCACCTGAAGCATCGACGCTGCCTTGGTTCAAGCAGACAGAGCTGAGGAAACTCTATTTCATGATGGTCTTCCTCTTCCTGGGCTCTACAACACTAGGTTACGACGGAAGCTTGTTGAACGGACTTCAGACCATGCAGTCATGGCAGACCTGTAAGTTGAACGTTATGAGGTGGTTGTGGCATGTTGTGGTTACGCATGTCACAATCTTCACCCATTATCTATGCCTCCAACGTCTGTGTACTGATGAACTATCGTATAGTCTTCGACCACCCCTCAGGAAGTCGACTCGGTATCTTCGGTGCCATGCCAGGCTTTGGCGGCCTTTTCGTCCTCCTCTTCGCGCCCTACATCGCCGACGGCCTCGGCCGAAAATGGGGCACCGCCATCGGCTGCCTCCTCGTCATCTTTGGCGCGCTGCTGCAGTCTTTCCCCTTTGGATCTGGCAGGGACGCCATGTACCTCATCGGTCGCTTCATCATGGGCGCCGGATCCAACATCTCAAACGGCACTTGTCCTCTGCTCATCACCGAAGTGGCACACCCTCAGCATCGCGGCAAGGTCACGACTCTCTACAACACACTCTGGTACTTGGGCAGTATCATTGCGGCTTGGTCTTGTATGTACACCAAGATTGGACCCGAAAAGAAAATGACGTTTGGCTAACGATAGGTGCAACATAGGCTTCGGAACGCTCACAAGACAGTCCGGTGATCTACAATGGCGACTACCCACTGGATTGCAGTGCATGATGCCAGGCATCCAGTTGATGGCCATCTGGTTCCTCCCCGAGAGCCCGAGATGGCTGATTAGCAAGGGCAAGGAGGCCGAGGCGAAGAAGGTTCTCATCAAGTACCACGGCAACAACAACGAAAACGACGAATTCGCGCATTGGGAGTTTGCCGAGATCACTAGCACGCTTCAGCTTGAGAAGGAAGCCTCGGCGGAGAGCGGTTGGATGGAACTTGTTCGCACCCCAGGAAACCGTAAGCGTTGCGGGCTCATTATCGCAACCGCCATCTTCAGTCAGTGCAGTGGTAACGGTCTGGTGTCGTACTATGTGAGTTTTTTTGTTATCCCAAGGCAGCCCGCAGCGGCTATGAGATTTGTGGTCTCTTGAGTTGCAGAGACTATCTATAAAAGTTGAGTCTAATCGAGGTGTATAGCTCGCCGTCATTCTGGGCACTATTGGAATTAAGGAGTAAGTTTTCCGCCATCTATGATGGCTGCAGCCAAAGAAGTATCTAACAACGGTTTTCAGCTCCATCACACAATCATACATCAATGGCGGCCTAACCATATGGTGCTGGCTCGTCTCGCTCACAGCCGCCTTTTTTGTCGACCGAATCGGACGCCGAGTCCTCTTCCTCTTCGCCGGCGTCGGCATGCTCATCTCATTCTCCATCTGGACAGCCTGTAGCGCCGTATACGCCCAAACACAGTCTTCCTCGGCTGGTATCGCCGTGGTCGCTATGATCTTCGTCTTCTACGGCGTCGCGGGAGCCGCTTGGCCGGGTCTGACCGTCTCCTACACCGTCGAGATTCTGCCGTACAACATTCGCGCCAAAGGTCTCACGCTATGTTTCTGCTTCACTGCACTGAGTGGTGTCTTTAACCAATGGGTCAACCCCTTGGGGCTTGAGCAGCTGGAGTGGCATTTCTACTTCGTTTACATCGCCATGTAAGTGCCCTTGCTGGATTATGGTGTCCTAAATTGAAACTGACGAAGCGGTATCCACAGTCTGGTAATCGAGTGCCTGGTCATATACTTCTTCTTCGTGGAGACAAGGGGTCCTACGTTGGAAGAAATTTCCATGCTCTTCGACGGCAAAGATTCTGCGGCTGGAGTCGCGAGGGTTCACGCTCAGGCAAAGGTTGAGGAGGTTGAAAAGAGAGAGAGCGCATAAGCATAGCACATATTGATATAGCAAGGAAGAACAAGCAGCATCAGTACAAGCCAACACTAATATTGGGTCACAATCTGCTGCTATGACTTGTAGGAGTTTCGTAACCTCGTGACGCCCCTAGCTCACCGGGATTTCAAGTAAACGGCACATCCCACAGGCCTCTGATCCAATTTGAGCTTTCCACATCGTTCCAATTGGTCCCATTCTCTGCAAGGTTTAAGTTGATGTGGAGGCATGTAACAGCGATTCTACTCTGACCACTCACGAGCCACTGAATGGACCTACTCGGCAATGGAAGCCTCGAAAAAGCAGGCGTGGGGGTGTTGTAGCTGAAGGCTAGGTAGTCTGCAGCATCTAAGTTGTTGATCGATGACTAGACCGATATAATGCCACCTTAGATCTTAAAGCTGTACCTGAAGATTTTTGCAATGGCTGAGATACGCTTCGCTTCTGAGCAGATGTATCACGTCAGGTTGGCTTCGAGTATCTTGACGTGCGAAAGCCATGATAGACCACTGCCCAGTGACGCTGACACCACTGGTTTGGCTGGATGCGGACACACAGAATGTGTTCATTCATGGACAGGTGATAGCCATGATATTACCATCCACTCTCAGAAATTTCGGTCTCCGTGCCCTGGCATACGTTGCGTGAGGAAACTACGAGTATTGAAGACAGCAATATTTTTACCAACCGGGGACCTGAACGGTCGAAGTCTCACACGCAACCCTTTGTACTCTATTACTTACCTGCTTACCTAAAGGCAGGTAAATCGCGAGCATGTGCTCTGCTCATTTTCCGTATTACACATATCGTCCTTTGTTGCAGCCACGTGCAGATTGTGCTCACATATGCTCTCGGTTTCTTCATAACCGGTGATATGCAACGCACTATTGGAGGGAATTGTTTTGCCTGGTCAATCTTGGCACCGATGTAGTGGTCAGGCTCCCCAGTAAGTATCCTTGGTGACCTGGTGTAAGACTTCGCGATGCTGAAAGGTTGGGGCAAAGACAAGCCAGTGCAGACGAGACTTGGCTCGCAGCCTGCCAAGTACTCTTCTACTGTCTCTAGTGGTGGCAATGAGGGATGCGAGTACCTGTACCACTTAGAACACATGGCGTACATGGCTTGGCAAGCAACCATCACGACGCCACATTCTCCAACTCTCGTCTCTAACTTTTGACAGTTTTTGACTTATTCTTAGATGATAATCCTCTTCCACCAGTCTCGCCGGGTATATTGATTGAGAATACGTTATCCTAATAATCCTATGTTGGGGTTGTCGTGCGAATATTCTTCTTTCGTAAAGACAATGAAGAACGTTGCTTTCAGACGAAGCCCCTGAAAACAAGATAGACAACTCTTGTGACTGGCACTGAGGCCCTGCTTATTGTCCAATAATCTCCGATGCAAATGAGCGATGTATTGATAGCAACAGCCAGATTCTCCAGGTTATCATCTCCGCCCCCGCACTCCCAACGACGTCAATCTTTCTTTCCCCGCAAGATTGTCAGCCTCGCCTGAAGGCATCCAGACTTCGACCCATGAAGCCAAGCTTTTCTTTTCCCGGGGTAAATCCCACATCTCTCGCTTCCCCAATAATAATGAGCGGGGTGCGGGTCCGGGGCCGCGCCGGCCGGCTGGGACATCAGGCTGGCGTTCACCAGACCGCTCAAGCGTGGGCATCTCAACAAACGCCAAGCTTTGCCAAGGGGCTTGTAAGCCCATCCTCGAGCAGTGATTCATGGGAATTTTGACCTTCAATCCTCCGTTGCATCTTTTCCTACATGTTCCCTTCCCCATGAGGTTTTTGACGATCTAGTAGGGTAGCACCAATGACGGGGTTGGATGTGAGCTCTTGGAGCTATGTCATCCGTCAACTACGCAGCTCGGAGAGCTCTGAGAGGTTTGGACTGAAAGCTCAAAGATGTGGAAAAATTAGGTATAAATGAAGCTCGAGGACCTGAAAAAGACTTGCGTTACATCGAATGGTGAATATTATTCTCTCAGGCTCTTGGTCGATCGCAGAAAGTCTGAGGCCTTTGACGCTTTCAACGCGACCTTATTTTTCACCGAGATAGTGGCATATAGCAGTCACCATGAAGGTCACCAGTGCCTCAGCTTTCTCTCTTCTGCTTGCTCTGGCTCAATCCGCTGCCATTGAGCGTCGCCAGCAAGGCGATGGCCCAGGCGGATCCGCAGATGCGACGCAAGGCGACCTTGGTGAACGGCCACCACCGCGGTTCCCCTTTCCCGTTACCAAGTTCCCGGTTCCGAATGAGACTGTAGTTCTCAAGGAAGCAATGTACATCCTTCCTGGGCAGGTCTTTGACGGAGGCATGAAGCGCTACGAGCGTGTTGAAGGCAGCTGCAATGAACAGGCTGGTATGTTTGACCCCGGTGTGATTTCTGCCATAATCAGAGAACCTATATTGACTCTGTCCACCATTGCAGAGGGCACGGATGCCGACGCGGTCTTCAATCTTCTGCCGGGTTCGACAATCCGCAACGTCATTATTGGCAAACACCAGGCTGAGGGTATCCATGCATTGGGCGACGCATGGGTCGAGAATGGTGGGACAGTGTTCTTACTTTAGAAGTGCCAAGCTGATTGTGTGACAGTGTGGTGGGAGGATGTTTGTGAGGATGCACTCACCTCGAAGGGCTTGAACACCCAACTTAGAGTGATTGGTGGCGGTGCTCGCAATGCCACTGACAAGGTTAACATTGCTCTCTGCACAATTTCCGCGAAAAAATAGCTGACCTTTCGGAAGATCTTCCAAGATAATTCTCTTGGCGGGAAGTACAACATCACCGGCTTCTATGCCGATGGTTTCGGAGTTTGTCAAGCCTCGCTCCATTTCATGAGACACCCTGCTGATTCTATGGCGCAGACTTTCTATCAATCCTGCGGTAACTGCTTGAACCAGTCAAAGCGAAATGCCACTATCCAGAATGTGATTGCACTTAATGGCAATAGAATGGGCATCGTAAGTAACCGATTATCATGCGTCGGTCGTTGACATGCGGCTAATCTCCTCTCATCAACAGATCAACCCCAACTACGGTGACGAGATCCGCATCAAGAACACTCAGCTGAAAGACTTGAAGGTGATGGTCGACAAAGAGATCGCAAACAACATGCAAACCGTTCCAATCACGGTTGGCACCGGCCCAGACCAGAAGTACGCCCTGTACAACGAGACGAGAGATGCTATCACCGAGTGGGAGGGAACTGTGGAGAACGCATACGAGCCCGAGGAGCCATACGAGTGGCTTGAGGCTTATTGGCCGGATGGATTCAACTGATTGCCTCAGTTGCAACATGGCTTCAGGCCAACTGTGATGTGTTGCTGGAGGCATGGCGCTGGTGGCCAATATCCTTACTAATCCTCCCAATAATTCGGTATACAATATCAATATGATGAGCTAATCAAGAACGATTCTTTTGTTATACTGTGGCGTGGTTATCGGCATTCCTCGATCCTCTGTGGAGGCCGAATCTCATGGCCGAGGCCCGGAAGCCCGACCGGCCCCGGCTCCGAGTGACCCACTGAATTCGGCGTCCACCTTGCCGGTACGGCCTCCGGGATATCGCAACATCGACGAATTCGGATGTCATGTGAAGCGGATGGAGAACAAGAGAATATGGAGCTGTCTCGATTGGTGCTCATCATTGCATCTTGTCATGCAAATATTGGTATTAGAACCTACTAAATCTGTCGGGGAGAAGGCCATTCACGCGCCTCTCACGCGTGCCGACTTCCGGCTCAAATCGGAATCCATGCATATTCTCCCCTGCAACCACGTTGCTGGTCTTTGTGACCCCCAGACTTCAAAACCCGATTGTTCCTTGCGGACACCGAGATCATTCCGGATGGGCTTTGAGTTGGCGCGTCAAACCCAAGCCCTGCTAGCCTCCCTTGCCCCCGGGACAACACGCCACTGTATCGCAATGTCTTACTCGGCCGCGAGCCTTCAAAGCAGCCCGCGTCAATGGCCGCATCGGTGCATGTCCCCGCGTCAGTCCCATGCAGGTCGCACTCGTTGGCCTCGCTTACCGTCAACGGCGAAGGAGACTGAGTAACGACGCATTTTGATTCTTACAGCTGTGCTGGCCGCGTGGAGCGAGACTGCAGCTGAGGAGTTCGAAGGCAAACGAATTTGCAATAAATCCCTGCTGAGTTGTAATTGTCGGAGGAGGCGCAGTATTCAACGGGTAGCTGCGTGCAGGAGCTGAGCGTGGCACCATGCAACACCAACAGAGTTGTTCGTTCGAAACCGTCAAACGGTTCGTCCCCTGGGAGGTGACAGGACTTCGTTCCCCACTAGTGAAAACGGCGTTTGGCATCATTGGCTACATTCCAGAGAAACCTCTGTTGGTCGGATAAAGGCCAAAAGTCTAGAGCTAAAACGCATTAAAGCTGGGAGGGCTCGTATTGACAGCAGCCGTGACAAGTCTCGGCTTCGGACGGACTCAGCTCCAAGGGGGGTTAGAAAGTTGATCATTTTCTTTTTTGGGGTGATGATGCACAAAGTGTTCGTCCACGGGACCGGATGCATCTCTTTGCACCAACACGCCTTGGCAATCTGCCCTGGCAAACAGTCCAACCAGCCAACCTAAGACATGGCCCACGCCGTCATAACTAGGAGCGCAAGGGATATAGCTACCAACGCTTTTCCACCTTTTCCCTCCCGCATTGTTCGTCACCGTCCCAGCCATTCCTTTTCTCCGTGGCGAGTGAGAACCGAATTGTTGCCCCTCACGAACTTCTCTCATCACGAAAAGAGGCATATTCGCGAAAGTCTACAGGTGGACTGCGACGACAACGAAGGAGATCTCTTGTTGACGGGGGAGGAATGTGGGACAGGAAAACATCATGAGCTCGTCAAATCCCTACATCAGCAATGGTACATGCTACCACGGGCCAGGGGATGAGGTGGGAGAATGGTTTCCATGTGGTAACGCAGACCTTGGGTACAAGACCTGCTGCCAGGGCGGCGACATGTGCTTGTCCAGCCACGCTTGCTACAATGGTCGGTTCGGAATCACATATCTCGCGGGCTGCAGCGACCCAGACTATCGAGACGCGAGTTGTCCCGATAAAGGAGCCATGAGTGGTAAGTCACAGTCGCCATGATGGGAGAGATGTATCGATGGGCATAAAACTAACTATTTGGTACCAAGATCAACCATGGGCAGGTCTAGTTTACTGCAACGGCACTTCAGAACAATGGGTGGCTTGCGAACAATCGGCGAAGCCTACGACTTTGACATCAGCAGACGCGTGCTGGTGCCCACAAACTTCCCGAACCGTCGCCTTCACCGATTCCTCGATCCTCCAAAACGTTGTACAGCTTCCGACCTCACTTGGAGGAAGCGTCATCTGGCAGCCCGGCTATGTCCCGATTCTTACACAACCCAATACAACCCCGACTCCAACTTCACCTGCCTCGACGACCGCTCAAGCTCAGCCTCCCACAACGACGGCATCGAGCACAACACCACAGCCGACTGCGACGCAAACCTCTTCATCAAACGATACGGCGGGTATGACGACAACTACCAAGGTTGGGCTCGGCGTTGGTATCACGGTAGGATGCTTGGTCCTCATGGCTGCTTTGATATACATATGGTACTCCAGAAGGAAATTGCGACAAACGGGGGCTGGAGAGATGGACAATGCGACTGAAAAGGGAAATGGGTATGAAGGCGGTATGGCCAAGCCATATGAAGCGAACTCGGCGCGGCCAGAGTCCGAAGCAACTGAGTTGGACGGCACCTCCCGGCCCTTCAAATTTGAACCGGCGGGCTTTGGATACAGGGGCAGTCCGAAGTTGGAACATGATAAAGGTTGGGCACAATCGCCGAAGACTCCAGTGGCAGAGTTGCCTGGATAAGGCTGGGATGGAAAGTGCTTGGATATACCAGAATAGATTAAATAGGATTGTTAAGAAATAGGTATCGTTTGGGTATCCACCGTGTCATTCTAGTTCTCGGTCGGTCCGGCAGGTCGCTTAGTCTCGCCCTCTGTGGCCGAGCCGGATGATTCTTGGACATTCAACATCGTAGCGGCGGGGTTGTTGGTCTCTGAGACGTGGTTCGCCATGCCGTACCAGCAAACAACACAGATGCCCAGAACGCCTGAGATAATACTGAAAACAAATGCGACAATTCCCTTGGTCGTGAACCTGAGCTCTTGTTAGATGTATATCCAGGCCGTGAGGAGCTTGATACTTGTACTTACCCAGCTGGGAGCGGGTCGGGAGGCGCATTCTGCCCGCTGAGGTCCAGAAGATCCTTAGTGTTGCCGGCAGCATTACCTGCAACGGGCACGTTTCCAGCTGCACAAACATCGAGATGGTTTTGCGGCAGAGTGAGGGACTTTTGGATCTCCAGCAGTGCCTCCACAAAGGTTGCCAGCAACCCAGAGGTAACATGCCACTCAATATGGCAATGGAACAGCCAGATGCCTGGAAAAGAGAGCATCAGTATAAGTGCTGGCCTTCTCAGAGCTATTGATTCTTACCTGGGTTGTCTGCCTTGAAGCGGAGGACGATGTTTCCATCAGGCCAGAGGACAAGAGTGTCGCGGCGCATAGGCACAGCGGGGAAATCACTCTCGGTCATGTTTGAGTCAGCAAAAGTACCGCTCTCCTCTTCGCCACGGTAGAGAGATTGGAAGTGATGCCCGTGAAGATGGAACGGGTGGCGACCGGAATCCAGGTTGTTGACCACGATTTGAACGATCTGGTCCTTCTCCAGAACAAAACTGTGGGTGTATTCGCCGTAGACTTCAGCATTTTCCGCATCAGCACCGGTCGTAAGTGCAGTATATAATGACGGAACCACTGGTGCCTTGTAACTAATGTTGTTGAAGAACGCATAGTTGGCACCATCGCCCAAGTTGTCCATAATGACGTTGAGCTCAACGGTCTGGTCTGGCTCTCCGAAACGCGCCAATTCGTCGTGTGGTACCAGCGTCATGTCGTCAAAAGGATTGAGCTCATCGATCAATGTCGGTTCCGGAAGTGAGTTGCTCTCATTGTACACCAACCAACTTGTGACATTCCAGTTCAGATCATCGGGCAAAGTGTCGAACAATGTCTACAGATGACGAAGTCAATGTTAGCATTTGAGATGGTTTCTTTCACAGATAGACTCATGTGTATGCATTCTCATAGAGGACTTAAGCTTACCGTGTCCATGCTACCGACGATGGCAAAGTTCTCGGCCGTGGAGTTCTTGGTTGTAAGCAGGAAGCTGCAGCGCTGGGCAACGGACAGGTAGATCATCTCAGCAGTCGCTTGTTGTGTGTAAACACCATCAACTTCGATGATAGACATGTTATGCCCCTCAAACCAGAGGTATTGTCCGGCAAAAGCACCAATATTGATGACGCGCATCAAGTAGGTCTTGCCAGGCTGGATTGAGATCGTGAGATTCTGCGTCTCATTCATCAACGCGGCCTTTGGCACAGGCTCCGCACCGGTGGGGTTCGTCTTGCTCATGAACGGCGGAATGAGGTTCTGCATCTGCTCATGGTACCAATCCGAAAGCGTCAAAACGATCTCTTCGTCGTAATCCCCTGCATAAGGATTGTCCGGATCATGGATGATGAGACTGCCGCGGAGCCCGTCTGGGTACTGGGACATGGTGTGCGAGTGATACCAGTATGTGCCCGGCTGGGTGATCTGGACCACCGTGAAGATTGGCATTAGTAAACACGCCGTTGCTAGAGTTCGTAGTCATGCGAACTCTAACGTTATAAGGTGGGAACACTCACGGTGAAGTTGTAGAGGAACGATGAGCCCGGCGGGATGGGGCATTGCGACACCTGGGCCGGACCATCCATGTGCGTGGTGCCGTTCATGAACAACCCGTGAAAGTGCAGCGAAGTGGACTGGTTGCCCAAGTCGTTGTGCACGTTGATCACAATGTTGTCGCCAATGTTGGCCTCAATCTGGGGAATGGGCCATTTTCCATTGATACCAATGACGGGGCGGTCGAAAGCACCGTCAGGGTTGGCAGTGACCCAGCCGACAGTGAAGTCGTAGTTGACTGTTGCTGCGGCAGCAAGCCGCGACGCCAGGCACGCGAGCGCGAGAGACAGAGTCTTGACCATGGCGACCTCAGTTCACTCTATGTTTCAGTGAAGATGGTTGATGGCGTGTCTTTCGCAGGCTGTCTCGAATGACAGAAGTAGCCGCGATGGGGATTGGCGAGGAGTGCGGTGACCTGGCTATCCTTCGATGAGAGGAAGACGAGAACTTATCTCTGGCTCTTCGACAGAAAACGAGGTGGGTGGTACCCTACTGTAAGGAAAAGAAGGCAAGATAGGAGGAGCAACCGTTGCCGCCGATATCAGACTTCGATCCTCTCAAGTTGAACGGGTTGGGGTATCGGGCGACATATCGGAGTCATCTGATTTTCTTCCCCCCCGGAGGCTGGCCGACTCTAAACGAACAGGGTCTCTCAGAGGCAACGTTTCCGGGACGCCACTTTCCATGGAAGTAAAACCAAATCCATGTCGGTACAAAAATCACTCAATTATCTTATCCATCTGATCAGCAAGCACCGGGGTTAGACTAGTAGGGCAGAAATGCTTAGCACCGGGAGACCCTTCGGGGCCTCTTCCACCCGTCGCCCCCCACCACCACACGACCGGCCTGCGTTTGTGGAGACATCTTCGGTTCGAGCTTGCATTTAGATCCATCTTGTAGCGGTACGGTCGAGATACATTCAACGACATGGCTACCAGGATTGTGTTTGACCGCCGCTGTGTTGGATGTGGAAGCAATTTTAACAGCGTAGTACGAGTGTTACGACTCACGTTGAGCGCCAATGATCATCGCAAGTGTTTGGAGGAGAAAATACCTGATAGGACTAGCCGAGAAGCACCCGCCCTTCTCGGTCTGTTTCCTGCCCAGCTCGGACCTGGTAATCCAATCTAATCGATCCATCAACCACCCCTGAGGTGATGGGAGGAGAATCAGCACACCTTCAAGATCCGCAGAGTTTTACGATATCGACCTCCCATGTATTGGTGGGTTCATCTGGATTCTTTGCCCTCCGATGGCTGCCGCGTCGACATACCTTACCTAGACCCCTCCGATTCCGAGCTCGGTTTGGAGAAGCACCAGACTCGATCCGATAGGCACGACTACTCCCCTTCGATCAGCAAGCCAGATTGATAAAGTCTTTCATCGCCTCATCGATCCCGGCTAAGAGACCTCCCACCTTCGCTCTGAACTAGAGTTCATCCAATAGGTTCACACTGATACCATCATCACGAGCAAGATGGCCGTCAACGTGTTTTCCGTCCCCGTCTTCCTCGTCGTTTTCCGCGAGTCCTTGGAGACTGGCATCATTGTCTCTGTTCTCCTCGCTTTCTTGAAGCAGACCCTTGGAGGTCCCGGACGCGATGTCACTGTCTACAAAGCTCTTCGTAAACAGGTAAAGTCTTGGCCCAGCTTTTTTCCTTTTGCAAACTTTGTCGCATTATGCTAACTCGTCACACGACGCAGGTCTGGATGGGAACCGCCCTCGGCCTCACCCTCTGCATCATAGTCGCGGCCGCCATCATCGGAGTCTTCTACGGAGTCGGTCGAGACAGCTGGCAAGCGCACGAATATTACTACGAAGGCTCGTTTGCGCTTTTCGCCTCCATCATCATCACACTCATGGGAGTTGCTCTCCTTCGAGTCGGCAAGCTGCAAGACAAATGGCGCGCCAAACTTGCCAAGGCCATGGAGCCCCAAGCAAAGACAACGACCTCGACGTTTGGCTCTCGATTCAAGCGGAACCAGGAGAAATACGTCATGTTCTTCCTGCCGCTCATCACCATTTTGCGAGAGGGGATTGAGATGATCGTTTTCATCTTCGGCGTCACTTTCGCAGCACCTGCTACTGCTGTACCCCTCCCGGTCGTTGTTGGTTTGATCGTTGGCGTTTTCGCGAGCTACCTCCTCTACAAGTAAGAAATGTTATCACATCAGAACTGTCGGCCAGGCCAAATGGCTCTAACGCGAAATCTTTAGGAGTGGATCTACTTCCAAGATTCAAATCTTCCTCGTCGCCTCTACCTGCTTGCTCTACATCGTCGCCGCTGGTCTGTTTTCCCGCGCCGTGTGGTTCTTCGAAGCACAGGAATGGAACACAGCCGTCGGTGGTGATGCGGCTGAGGTTGGCGCAGGCCCTGGATCCTACGATATCGACAGAAGCGTTTGGCACGTTAACGTAAGTACCCAAACTCGCGCTGGATTGGGACATGTGATCGCGAGACTGACTTCTTGCAGTGCTGTAGCCCTCAATTGAACGGTGGCGGTGGCTGGGGTCTCCTGAATGCCATTTTCGGCTGGAACAACTCTGCCACCTACGGATCTGTCATCTCGTACAACGTCTACTGGATCTTTGTCATTTGCTGGCTTGTGCTTCTGAGATTCCACGAAGTCAATGGTCACTGGCCCCTCATGAAGCCAAAGGCTGCTGGCAAGGTCGAGTCCACTGAGGAAATGCCAGGAACATCTACGCCTACTGAACACTCTGTCAACGAACCCAAGAAGGATATGTCAACCACCACAAGCGCTCTCAAATGATTAGGCACGATGAAGGGCTCGGAGTTGACTCGGTTTGGAGATCTTGGTGCTGCCGGATCTCATTCATGGAGGGGACGAGGATTTTGGTAGAGGGGCACACACATTATCAAGATTTCGATCCCGGTCCCAACACTGTGGAGTTTCTGGCTCAATTACCTGGTAATTCGAATAAATATCTGAATAGTCATCATCCTTGCCTCTTTCACTAGCCTCAAACCTTCAACGACTTTCAGTCCAAGTCTACAGCAATAAACCTCGTGGGGAACCTACTCCGATGTTAGGCAATATTTGTTTACCCATTCTTCATCCTTTCCTTGGCCGTGTTGATGATTTGATCCCTAGCAATTTGCTTGGAGCATGTCCTACAATGCTCTTCGTGGATCAGCTAAGCATTTGGACCCCGCTCCATATTGCCCCATGAACACGCGAGCAATTGTACGGGGCCATGGTATGAAATGTTTTCTCATCGCCTGAATCGGTGAGGAATACAGCCACACCTGCATGAGGCATAGGTTTAGATCTACTAGCCTCTATCTAGACCCAACGGCCCACCATCCTTCGGATAGTAGCGTTCTACGACATAGGAAGACTACAGCGTTTGACTGGGCGGATCCGCTAAGGGGAGCTGCAGAAATGCAGAAAAAGTAACTTCAGGGGGGTATTTACCCAACCTCCACTAGCATCAGAAGACTTTTTGAGGCCGAAGCGATATGGTTCCACGGGCACGCAGAGACATTGCTTCATATCAAACGCGCCTGGGTGGCGCGGGCTTCCTCCCGGGTGGGACTTTGACCAGAACGTGGCGTAGGCTGTAGCTGTGATCCCTCGGCCTTCCGAGGTGTCAACTCGGCGATAGATACCAGGCCTCTTCGACTTAGCAAGCCACGCTCAACTCAGACCACTGGCATTTTCTTGGGGTTTCATTACCTGTTCTGGAAACCATGACAAAGATACTTAGTAGACTATGTGCGAATAGGTCGGCGACAATATGGGCGATCAGTGTCCACAGTCGGGCACCTGGTCACTATCTTCCTGACATCTCCCCGCAAGCCAAGGCGGATGGTTTGCCGGGACTATGCGGCAGCCAGCCTTTTTGCTTCCATCACAGGTCTTCCCAAGAACTTGGTAACCAGAGTTCCCTGTAGAGTCCGTCTTTTTCATTACACCCCCACGATTGTCAGCAAATCCATCTATACTGGTATTGGCTTGGGCAAACTCCACCGAAATCGCACTTCTAACCCCCTGATCCTTACCGACTTTCACTGGGAGTCGGGAGTCATGCGAGGGTCCTTGCAAGAACCCGTGTCATCTCAAAAGAGACATCGATTCGAGGTCGAACCATTATAGTCACAACTTGGGAAAAGCGCCCACGGCTACTACGTTGTAAGTCCCCACGGTTTCATTTATTTTTGCCTACTCCCCATACTTGCTTCTTGAGGTATTCTGGGGCGAACGACATGCCTTGTAACATCGAATATCCGCGTGTGCCCGGGTTACGCCGTGTGGCCTCAGTTGAATTACACCGCACTGCTTCCCAGGTGGATTACACTTGAAAAGCCACTTACATTAGGTGGCAGGATTGCTGGGACGCGTGGTCATGTCAGCCATTAGCATGGCGAATGCTGCGTCCGGTCCGTTAACTCCATGAACGAGCACACTTTGCCTCGAGGTATCCACGAAGCCGCAGGCCTTATGTTTCTAGAACTCCGTCCTTCACCAATACTATTATCAACTTCACAATAAGGAAGTAGGCATCGAAAGATTCCCCTGTACACGTGTGCTCGATCTCTCTTGTAATTGGTTCAACAGGAGGATTTAGTCGGCTTCTGAACGATCTTCTCGTGGGCCATTGTTTAGAAATCCAGAATAATGGCCCAATTTTGTCCCACTGTGTAGCCGTTTGTGTGTAATCGTTGTATTCAGGTACGCGGAATAGCCTACTTGCGTGTTGTAAAAAAGTGGTCCAGAGAAGGTTACCCGAGGCTCTCTATCTCATGCATCCAAAATGGATTCCGCCCGGTTTCAACGAGACGCTGTGAGGTCGTGGCGGACTATACCAACACCGTCGCTTGAGAAAGTGAGATATGAGCCTTTGTGACCCAAGAATAGTTAGAACATGTTGAATTCTTACAAGCGACTTTTACACATGGCGGGGACCTTGCCACTCTATTCCAAAATCTAAAGTTATTGCAACCGCCAATGTGAGGTAATGTCAGACATGATTAAGAAATATGGTTGCGACTAACAGACAGGGCTCGGTCGTACGAGCTCAAAACTGCTCGGAGTTGCGATCTCGGAGTTATGATCAAAAAAGCTTGTCAAGTGGTGCCCCCCAAAAAGCCAAGTCGGACAGACCCGAAGCACCGGTTGGGGCTGAAGCCGGGACGGTTTTCTGATTAGCAGGACTAAAACATGGGCTGAAAAGTTTTATTCCCGATCCCACTTTGGCACGGCTGTTGAATGCTTTGTCGATTGGTTGAGTCGAATGGGTATCCGTAGCGTCTGTCCACAAGTTCGTGTCTGTCCACCCCCCCAGATGCCTTTCTCAGACGTAGTTTCGAGTATCCACGTGGAGCGGAGAGCTGTACCCGCTTTTTAGAACTATGACAAGCAACTTCCTGATTCATTCCTTCGCTTAGCGATGATTCGTTCCTTTCTACGGTAAGCGTTTCCGCGCCCGGAGTCCTGATACGCAACCGACACGACTCTAAACAACCGTCGTCCACCAGCCATCGTTCACTACGGAGACGGATTCGCGTCGGCTCTTGTCTAACAGGAATACATGATATAGTTTAATTCCTTCACATGGCGTCTACAATATTCCATGGTTTGGGAAAACTAGGATAGGAAACAAGGTTAGGTACTTTGGGCATCGTTTGTCGTGACAACCTGCCGAAATTAGCCTTTGGACCCTGCGATTAGTGTCCTCTGACGTACGAGGTCCCAAGCGGCGCCCAACAGACTTTTTACTAGTCTGTTTTATCCGTCACAATTCCTCCGATGAACCCGGCAAAAGTCAGGATCGTGTTATCCTCAAGGGCGGAATTAGTATGATCTAATGAGTCCACAAGGCGAGATATCATTCCGTGGTCCAGTCGACCAAGGTAAGAATCTTATCGAATCCACTCAAGCCGCTGGAACCTTGGGAATTGTTGGGGGCGTACGTGAAGGAAGTCTTCAAGTGGGTATCAGATGCAATAGAATTCGTAAGCGTAGAGTCCTCGAACCTACCAACCTTACACATGACAACTTGTTGGACATCTTCGTGGGTCCTGACAGTCTTTTGAATACCCACTGGCACCTACCCGAAGCATTCAAATCTCCTTTCTCGCGTCAAAAAATCAATAAGTCACACAAGTCACTGGCAAGTAGATCGACATCGAAAGCGAGTCATTTCTTTCCAAGATACGATCCAGGCCAGAACCTAACCCACCGGCGTGTGTAGCTCTAGCGCGAAAGATTATCTAGACATCTGATTAGATCCAATCAGGATCATCGTGAAGCTAATGATTGACTTTTCCATGTCACATTCAGCCGTCCGATGTTCGCAGTCTCGCAAGCGATGCGGTATTTTTGGTGGGAACATGATACGAAATGAGGTTCTCGACCAAGGAAGTTGTCCGTGATTGAAATCAGTGCATCTGATAGTGGAACACGGGATGAACGTCCCGCACTTTGGACATTTTGCCGGAGCTAGATTGATACGTAGGCAAAGATTTATTTTCTTAGTTTCTTTACCGAGATCTGATATAAGTGTATGAGGAGACTCGCCAAATCCCCTTAAGGTACGGCAGTTTGATCTGAGAGAGAGTCTGCCACTTTTGCTTATACCAATATCGCTGTTGTCTGGACGCTTTGTCCAGCACTCAACGTTGGCAAACATGATCGAATCCCGTGCAGCCAAGCAACCGAAGCCGCCCAACGCACGACAGCTCTTGAATGAGTGGAATGTCAAGGTATATGCGGGAGTAGTCGCAGGTGTAATTGCGGCTCTTATTATCTACCATTGGGCGCAATGGATCAAACGCAGAACATCAAGGTCGCCAAGAACTGGCTCGTCATCGCCCCTTGCCAAGGCTTCTAGGTAGGACTATCGTCAGAAATGACTTGGCGCTCGATCAGCCCTAACAACCGGCAGAAAAATACGAAGCCTACTGGTTCGCAAGGCGCCGGGGTTTCCAACAGGAGGCCATGCCTTGCTGACTATTGCTTTCGTTGGTATCAATATTGTCATGTCTTTTCATCATGTCGACAAGGCAAAGATGAGCAATTTTGCTGCAAGATTTGGATGGTCAGAATTCAAGGGATCCTCTGTCACCTTCTTGAGTGCTGACACTTATACAGGATGTCGACGGCGAACATGACGCTATGCGTCTTCTTCGGTCTGAAAAACACCCCCCTCGGTGTCTTGACCGGACACTCTTATGAAAGGCTCAACTTCTTCCATCGTTTGGCCGGGTACGCGGCCGTACTTCAGATGCTCCTTCACGCCATCTTCTACATGGTATACTACGGAATGCAGGACCGGTGGAGCACCCTGCTCGAAGTGCAAAATTGGGAGGGTATTGGCGCAGGCTTTGCCATGCTCCTCCTGCTCATGGGCTTGGCAAGAAATCTTGGCTACGAATGGTTCTACGTGAGCCACCTGGTGGGATTCCTGCTGGCCGTTATTTTCACTGGGCTTCACAGGCCCTACTGGATATGGAAGATCCCTGTGGCAATGGTTTTCATCGCCGCAATTTGGGGACTTGACCGTCTGATTCGGGGGTCGAGAATGCTGTACAACCTTGTCAACAACAGCGCTACCATTCACCGGTTGCCAGACAATGGTGTTCGTCTGGTCATCAAGAAGCCTCTGTCGGGTGCCACTCCCGGCTCGCACTGCTTCGTTTGGATTCCCGGTGTTCGCCCATTCCAAACACACCCCTTTACCATCGTATCCAATACCCCTCACGGGGGGCTGGAGCTGGTCCTCAGCTCCTATGATGGTTTCACCAAGGCTTTGCATGATCTAGCTAATACCGAGGCTGGTACAACTGTGTGGGCTTCTGTTGACGGACCCTATGGAGCGTTCCCTAACCCGAAGAACTACGACAAGGTGGTCTTGATTGCCGGAGGCAGCGGGGCGACGTTTACCTTCGGCCTGGCAACCAGCCTCCTACAGCACTTGGAATCTGAATCGCACAAACGCGTTGACTTCATCTGGGCTGTCAGAAAGAGGGGTTTGTCTAGTCCGATCAACGACAC